AGAGAGAGAGAGAGAGAGAGAGAGAGAGAGAGAGAGAGCGAGAGAGAGAGAGAGCGAGAGAGAGAGAGAGAGAGAGAAAAGAAGATAAGGTAGGAGGTAGATATAGTAAGATAATAATTTGATTTGATTCGGTTTAGTTACTACTGCTACTACTACTACTTACTTACTTACTTACTTACTTACTTACTTACCTACCTACTTACTTACCTGTTTAGAAAACGATGAGATAGGAAAGGAAAGAGTTCAAGAAGGAGGAGTAAATTAGCTTGCAAGTCAGACTTGAAAATGTCAGCTCGTCTATACTATAGTTCCTATAAGAGAGAAAATGCCAAGGTCAGCTTCCTTCTTAAGATACCAAACACACCATATTCATTCGTGCTTTTACATGTCCATGTACAAACAACAGTATCCGCTGCGGAAGAAATATCAAGATGGCGGGATGGTACAAGTTTGCCGATGAGGGAGGTGCACATATAAACGACATTTTCATGAGTACAGGTAGGTAAGGTAGGATAGGATGATAGCCCTCCCTTCCTCCCTCTTCTTCTTCTTCTCCTTCTAACCCGCGCTCTTGATCATCATGCATTACCAGGCTTCTCTTCTGTATCAATATGCCATACAACATAATTCGGGAGGCCATAAACTCCATACCCCGCTCGTTTGGCCATCTTCGCAAAGCCTTCTGTTTCGGCTTGATTCTCAAACGCGTAGCAGGGAAAGTTGATGCCTGGAAACAAGTCAGCGAAATCGGAAGTGTGAAGCCTGGAAAGATGGCTCATGCGCACCAGCTCTGTGGACATCTGCTTTGACGAGAATGTTGACGCCCCCTATACCGTCAAGGGGAATCTCCACATCCTTGTTATCTCGCCAGTCGCCCATGCGCGCCATGTGTTTGCGTCCTGTATCGTACTCTTTGTACCCTGTAGCAGCCCAAGGTCAGTACTGGTCATGGTCATATGAAGAGGCAGCAGTCTTCATACCTTCAGCAAGAACAACATCCTTGTCCAGAGAGGCAGCCAGCTTCAGGCCCTTCTCCGACTCCTGCCATGAGTTGTAGTCGAAACGACCCTCAATGTCACGACCGTTCTCGTATCGGTGGAACCACACATCTGTGTTCACGTTAGCTCACTTCATATCCCACACGGGAAGTCTGTCACCACATACTAGGCACAAGGATATCGCGGTCGTGCGCAACAAAGTCCTCGATGATCCTACTCGGGCTGTCCTTGATGTCCACATCTCGCCAGTACACCCAGCTGTGCTCGGGCTTCAGCGCCGCAGACAACAAGTAATTCCTGGCTTTCCCCATTGCCTTTCTCCTCGGTCCCTGAGCAGCGAAGCCATGTCTGCTCTCCACGTCCTGACTTGCTGCGACGTCAAAGTCCTTGGACACAATCATCACGCTTCGGAAGGGTATGCTGTCTGTCCGCGACTGGATCCGTTCCAGCTCCATGCTCAGCACGGCGAGCGTATCATCTGTGCTATCGCCCACCAAGAATGCCAGATCAATCAGCTTGTGAGGATAGGTCAACTGCGTCAGCAGATCAAAGTGCTGCTCAATGTATGGTGCCGCATTTCGGAGAGGAGTCAAGATGAGCACGTGCTCCTCATTGGCGAGCGCTTTCGGCGTCGAGGTGATGGGATTGAGGTCAATGTGCTGTATGCTGGAGCTGTTGATCTCAATGGGTTCGTGGTGGTTGAAGATGACTGGTGTCTGTAGATGCCCTGCCCATTGCGCCTGTTCGTTTGGTGTCATTTGCATGGGCGATTTCGCCGGGCCAAAGCAATAAAACCTGCCATACTGCTGTTAGCGCGCGCCCATATCTTGACCCGTCACCACCTCATCCACCTCATCCACCACCACCACCTCCACCACATATCCTCGTCGCTCTGGCCGGGTCCAGTCCTGCACGTACTTTTGAAAATCGCCCGCTGACCCTCGTACGCCATTCCATATCAATATAATGATGCCCGCAATTGCAACAAACAGCAGAAATCGCGTCCGTGTGAGGAAATTCCATATGGCGCGACTCGGGGGTAATCGTGCGCGCGCACTCTTCCAGGTCATGCCGGTGCCTTTCGGAAGCAGCATGACGGGCGCGGGGAGGCCACTGCGAGCGCCCAGCGGCGTCGATGACACTCCGCGTACGCTGTTGCTCCGCTGGCGGACGGTCGGTTCAGCCACGATGGACGAGTTGCGCCAGATCCCGAGTCCAGGTGGTGTATCGCAAGTGCTGCGGATGGTGGTTTCGGGAGATTCAGCCGGCGATGGTGCTGGATGCGGTGGGGAGGGGGCGGTGGGCGGTGGGCGGTGTATACGGGCAGTAACGAGCGGCGTGGTGATGGTTCAGGTAGAGAGAGATGTCCTCTTCGGTGGTGAAGGATGTAGAGAGGTACCTCCTACGTGTAGGGGTCTGTCTCTTAGTCTCCCCGTCTCTAACTTACACTTTACAGGAGCGGAGGAAGGCGCCGGGCTCTTGGCACACTCAACTCAACCTTTGCTCACTTGTCCTGTCTATCAGTTACCTGAATACTACTAAATACAGACATTGATATTAATATTCACATATACCAATACTCGAGACTCGCCCGGTATCCTACCCGTCTTCCATCTTTATATTACCTGCTCTATCGGATACCTCTCTTCTGCCGCCGTCCACTGTGGCACTGGCACCTCCAACAGGCACGTTGCCATAGCAAATTTCTGTTGACGCGTAAGATGCTGCAAGCTTCTCTAGTCGCAACAGTAGCGTTTTGGCGTCTGCATTAGGTAGTGCTAGCTGCCGGACCGGAGCTGCAGTCTAGTTTTAGAAGCAGAGTAAATTACTGCGAGCAGAAGGACAGACATATAATATTAGTTGCAGTTTGCAGAGAAAAATATGGAATAAGCCTCTGGTTCAGCACGGTCCAACATGGATACCTCCTACGGTGAGTGAACCTAGAAGCCAATGCGTGCCTTTGGAGCATGGCAATCGTGTGTCGAAGTGTGGAAGCATCATATAGCCACGAGGGCGAAGCATTGCAGATCCCGTTGCTAGAACGAAAAGCTTCCAGCACCAAACTCCGCAAGCACGCGTGTCATGGCACAAGAAAGTAGTGTCGATGAGTGAGGGAGTAAGAAGAGAGAAGAGAGTATAAACGGCGTCGTTGGCCACGACATCGATACCAAGTATATCGCCGCGTGATCTTTTAGCCTAACTTCGGCACTGGACCCCCCACTACCACCGCGAAAGAGGCACCTCCGACATCTGCCACGACGCCATCCTTCTACGAGGTACATCTGACCTGACAGGAAGAAGATCCTCCATTCCAATGTCAATTCGACTGCTGCCGCGCTGTACTTTGAGAACAACGACCAGACTGACCCGATCATCAACCTCCCTCCGCCCTTTCGCCTCCACAACTCCCAAAATGGGTAAACAAGAATGGATGGTCATCCTCCCCGACAATGCCGGAGTTCTCGAAACAAGAATGAAGGTCAGACCGTACGTTATATCATCTCTCCTCCTCCTCTTCTTCTAAACCCATGACTTGTACAAGAACGGAATGACTACTCAATTCGTGGGGCAGTCAACATCTCGAAGACCTCAAACCCAAAGTCGAATCCGGCGTCGCAGTTTTCGGAGGTGCTTCCCTAGACGAGCCGTTGAAGGAAGGCGAAGGGCCGAAAATCAATGGCAGTGTAATGATTATTGAGGCCGATACCAAGGCAGAGGTCGAAGATGTTATCAAGAGTGATATTTACTACAAGGAGGGTGTTTGGGATGCTAGTAAGGTGTGTATATGAAAAAGTCCATGTAGATGGGTGTAAGTGTAAAAAAAGGCTATGCTGACTGTGATGGATGGATAGATGCAGATATTTCCCTTCAAGAGTGCTATTAGGAAGGAGTTGCAGTAGAGGTCCCTAGGGCTTCATAGGTTTGTTAGTATGGCAGGCATATACGTCCCACTATGCTAAATGGCCCGGCTTGGAGTCGACGATGTTAATCACTACATTGTCCGTACTCATTCATATACGGGCATATATGACTTGCAAGAAGACGTGCATAGCTAGTACGACTGGTATTGATACCTTGCAAGGCCCCTTGCCAACTTTAAGGTAGATGCGGCTTGATTGCGCTTTGCACAGAGCACAATCTTGTGCTTGGCTGCAAATAAGCGCTCCACAGATGTTTACCAAATGTAACATCCGGCATGGCTTTCGGCCAAGGTACATGTATTCTCTCCAACACAGTCCATTCCGATAACATGGCCGCCGCCCATCGAAGGATGCAATGATTGGACGGAGGTCGCCTAAGCGCATGCACATCAGCAACACCACCAACAACATCACCAACAACCACAGACCCATGGGAGCAGGCAGGTACTGTACCTCAGAAGATAAGTGCCCTCAACTCCATCTCGAACTTCCCATCCACTTTCCAAACTTTTCCCTACCATTGCTCTCTGCTTTCCTTGTCATACCAATAAAAAAACAAATATCTGAAAAAAAGAAAAAAAAAAGAGAAAAGAAAATGCTCTACACAAACGCAACAATCCTCACCCTCGACAAAACCCGCTCCATCTACCTCCACACAGGCTCCATCCTCGTCTCCAACCACACCATCGCCGCCATCGGTCCCACATCCCTCCTCACATCCCAATACCCCAACGAACCCCTTCAAGACCTCACCGGCCGCATCATCATCCCAGGCCTCATCAACACCCACATCCACACAGCGCAAACTCTCCTCCGAGGCACAGCCGACGATCTCGAACTAGTCTCATGGCTCTGCGAAAGAATCTGGCCCTTGCAAGGAAATTTCACGGCGGCAGATGGATTGTGTGCGGCGAAATTGAGTATTGCGGAAATGTTATTGAGTGGCACGACGTGTTTTTTGGAATCTATGTTTGCGGATCGTTATGGGTTTGAGGGCTTGTGTGAAGCGGTCGAGGAGAGTGGCATAAGAGGCTGTTTGGGGAAAATTGTTATGGATCAAGGGAAATATGCGGATGGAGGGGAGGAGGGGAGGTGGAAAATGCATGAGGGGTTGGTGGAGACGAGGGAGCAGAGTTTGGGAGGCGCCGTGAGGATGTGGGAAGAGTGGGATGGGAAGGCTGAAGGGAGGATTCGAGTGTGGTTTGGGGCGAGGACGCCTGGAGGGTGAGTTTCTTTTTCTTCCTCTCTCGAGATTCAATTTTTGAAGCTTTTTTTTTCTTCTTTTGTCATCGACAGACACTAAATCGCAACAACCTCCTCCAGAGTCTCCGAATCCCTCTATCAAGAAATGGCCGAAATTTCGCGTACCAAAAACATCCCCATCACCATGCACTGCGCCGAATCACCCACCGACAGCATCTTCTTCGCGAGTCAAAACCACACAGCAATTTCCTACTGCACCTCCCTCAACCTCCTCAGTCCGCGCACCGTCCTCGTGCACATGATCCACCTCTCGTCCAGCGACATCCACACCCTCTCCCAAACAGGAACTCACGTCGTACACTGCCCATCCAGCAATCTCAAACTGGCCTCAGGAATCTGCCGCGTGCCCGACTTACTCGACGCAGGCATCAATCTCACCCTGGGAACAGACGGAGCACCCTGCAACAACACAAGTTCCATGTTTTCCGAAATGCGGCTCGCAGGAATTCTCCACAAAGTCACCTCTATGAACCCGACCGTCGTTCCCGCCGAAACCGTGCTCGAAGCAGCCACGATTAATGGCGCCAAAGCACTCGGTTTAGAGCATCTGATAGGAAGTTTGGAAGTGGGCAAACGAGCGGATTTTGTCGTTTTGGATATGAGAGCGGTACATCTCCAACCGTGGTTTAATCCCGTGAGTGCTGTTGTGTATTCGGCGACGGGGAGAGATGTGGAAATGGTCGTGGTGGATGGGAAAGAAGTTGTGCAAGAGGGGAAATTGAAGACTTTGGATGTGGAAATGGTGTGGAAGGAGGCGCAGTGGAGAGCGAAAGAGGTGGTTCAGAGGGCGGGATTGATGGAAAAGGTGGGTGCGAAATGGCCTGTGGTGTGAATTAGAATCAAATCAAATAAAAAAAAGTTTACAACTTCACTCGCACTTTTGCACTCTTGGCATCTCCAGTCAGCAATGATATTCGTCGAAACTCTTGATACCTCGCCTCTGCTACCATGGGGAGGAATATGCTCTCGTGTGGGAGGCTGGGGACGCAGAAAGAGCAGCTTGCATAGATGGGAAATATTCCAACTCGATAATCGTACAAAAAACCTGATCGAATTGGTGGGGTATCATGCATGCTACTGTCCCTCCTGTGCCATTCCAACGCCAACGCCGACGTACCATCCACTTCGTCCTTCGTGCCATCTGTGCATAAATGAACTTTAGTACTGCAAAGCCTCCAACCTGCGTGCTCTTAAGCGCGCCTGCTCAGTCAGATGTCTCCTCCTACCCTGGTCCATCATACACATCAAATCCACAGAAAGCGCCAGACCCTTCGCTCGTCGTCCCACTCCGTCCTCGTAAAACACCGCATCACAAGAGACCTAGTCTTGCTGCTGCTTCTTGCTGTCCTTGGTGTCCGTCTCGTTCTCCTTGTCGGCCGCCTCCTCCCAACCACTGCTCCTTCGACTTTGCACATCCAAGCTCCCAGCGCCACTGATTTGTCGCAACAGACTGGGAGTGTATGTTGCACCGCCACCTATGCTCCCAGGGATACTACCGTTCCTGGCATGCTGATGACCACCTCCGTCTCGCTCACTTGCGGCATCGAGTCCGCCTGCTGTTGCGCCACCACTCTTCGCCACCTCCACACTTCTCACACTCGAGACATCGTGCAGACTCTTGGCATCGTACTGTGAACGGGCGTCCAGACCGTAATGACTACCGCTGATGGATCGCGCGTCGTCTTTGTTCGCGCCCATGTTGGTGATGGATCTCAGAGACTTGGCATCACCCGGTCGGTTGTAGTAGGAGCCGCGCTCGGATGGGAGAGCAGTGGCGTGCGCTGGGACTTCCCTCGCGAGACCCGAAGAGGAGTATACAGAAGCACGTTCTGCAGAGGCAGATCCTGGTATGCCACCGATAGACTGACGCGAAGTTTCTTGTCCTCCGCTGAGCACACTCAGTGGGAGCGATTCGCGACTTCCGCCAAAGGTTGAGCCGGGCGCTAAAGCACGGACAGAAGCGTCCGTGTCCATGCTTCGGCGTCGGCGCTTCGACGAAGATGCCAGTGTGAGAATGCTTGCGTTGTCGGAGAGCATATTATTGGCTGTCGCAGAGTTGTAGGTCGCTGGGGTGTTGGCTACCGACGTCGAGTCGGTGTGTAGATGCCGTGGAATGGCAGAGGCGGTTATGGCTGCGGATGGACCTGGAGAGACAGGATATTGGTGGGAGAATTGAGAGCCATTGGGCTGGCTTTGGCCGTTGTAATGCAGAGAGCCGTGAGCTCCATTCACTGGAGTGCCGGTCGATTGGATCGTGGTCAGCGTGGTCGCGAGGGAATGAAGGCTGTGGTTGGGCGAGCTGAATGTGCTATTGGCGCCTGCGGTACTCAATGCACCGGCACCCGTGGATGTAGTCACGGCTCTGCTATTTCCCGCGTCGCTGTGCACGGTCTCGGCATTTGTCGCAAGCGTGGGTGCTCCACTCTTGTTACTGTGGCCATTGTGCCCCTCTTGGTCGTGTACCGGGTTCTGTGGTAGTGACAAGCTAGAGTCCCGCTCGTACGGTTCGCGTGTTGAAGTGCCCAAGGAGGGTTGACTGGCGTGTTGCACCTCCTCGTGTAGATGTCCCGACTGCGGATACGGGTTGTTCTTGCCGGGGAGGCTGTTGTTCTTCTTGTACTTTGCAGCTCCGCCACCGTACGCCTTCTTCCCATTCTCCTCCTTCTTCTGGTCGCTGCTCTTGAAATGTGTCAGGCGTTTAACGAAATTGGCAAAGGGTCGGCGCTTCAGTGGTCGCTGCTCTAGAAGGGCCTGTGTTAGCTACCGTGACAGAGAGCCTTGCTGGGACATGAAGGATGAATGTGTACCTGCGGCGGGGCTACTGGCCACTTCGGCACTCGCCATCCTCTTTCTTTCCCGCCGGCCTGCGTCCTTGGTGTGTCCTGTCCTGTGCACGTTCTCCCGGAGGCCACCTCCTGAGCTGGAGTGCGCCTGTGCCTGTGTTTGTGCCGCTGGCAGGTAGATAAAGACGGGTGTTTAATCGCAGGATTCCAGCGCGGAATACGGAGGTGTCGAGGTGCTGTAAGTGTCAAGTGTGGGAAAGTGAAAGAGGCGGTAGTGGTGGTGGAGCTGTGGAAAGGCGATATTTAGTGACAATCTCCTAAGTTAGTGCTGTGAGAAGGAGACGGCGTGCTTCCCCACAGACCCAGCTTGCTACGGCAGCGGGTCGGCAGCCGGGACCGGGCAGCTCCGCCGGCTCCTCGTTCCCTGCATGGCCACGTTTCAGGCGACACACCAATTCCACTTACGTCTCCCCACGCTGACTACACCTTTATGATATTACTGTACCACGCATAAAACAACAAACAACAAACATCACATCACACGCTTGTTGGCCCCACGACCCCCCGTCTGGCACGAGAACAAACTCCCATTGTGGCTTCTGGCACCGGCGAAGCAGCAGAGCATCTTACTCAACATGCTACCTTTCCACCACCAGGCACGTCCCAGGGACAGGCATTTGCCACCGTGCATCCACAGCCACAACCCCTGATGCATCACCAACCACAACATCGCCAGCCTGCACGGATCCTCCCATTGAGCCCCGAGGCCATATCTCAGATTCATTCCTCAAAACACATAACCGATCTACAAGGCGTCATCTGCTCTCTGCTTGAAAACAGCCTCGATGCCGGCGCCAACAAAGTCGACATCTCCGTCGACTGGAGACGCGGCGGCTGTACTGTCGCAGACAATGGCACTGGCATACCAGCTGCCGAGTTCTTGGAGAATGGCGGACTTGGAAAGATGTACTGCACCTCGAAGCAGCATGCTGGCACAGGAACGAAGCAGACTCATGGTAAAGCGGGAACGTTCCTGGCCGAGCTGGGAAGCATGTCATTGTTGAGTATCACATCAGAACAGGAAGGCGGCGGTGCAGAGAGTGTATTTACTATGCATAACGGGAAGGTGATCCCTCGCCAGCCGACTGCTGATGGCCAGACGACGATGCCCTCTTTTGCGGAGCTGCATCGGAGACATGGCACAATCGTCACAGTACGCGACTTGTTTGGCAACATGCCTGTGAGAGTCAAGCAACGTGCCCATGCTACTGAGAGTGCATACGATCAGGACAAGGCCTGGCAGAAACTAAAGCGTGATGTTGTTGCTCTTCTGTTGGCTTGGCATACTCCGTGCGCGGTCAAGCTGCGAGGCACGAATACCGAGTCCAGACGGTCACACCTGATGAGTGGAGCCTCTGGTGCTTTGACTGAACGAGCACTGGCAGGCTGGTCGTCCAAGTCTGTGAAATACGACATCCGAGATGCGATGCCTGTTGTTTTCCAGGCTGGTCTTGCACCAACCGAGTCACGAGGTAGGTGGATCCCTCTCTCAGCTTCTACATCAATGGCGACTTTGAGAGGCATGATTTGTCTGCATGCAGCTCCGACCAGACGATGCCAATTCCTTGCGATTGGGATAACGCCCTGCTCTTCACACGAAATTCTTCACGCCGTCAATAAGGTATTCGAGAGTAGTAGTTTTGGAGCTGTGGAGGACTCAACTGAACGTGATAGCCGCAATCGAGGCAAGCTTCCCAACGGACATGTCAACCTGGATCGACATCCCATGTACGTGCTTCAACTCAATTTCGTTGAGCGGAGAAAATGCGCTCCCGCCGACAATGCGCACCTGAGCGAAGCCACAATCCAGAGTCTTACAAGGCTGTTAGAAGCCGCTGTTCAGGCCTGGCTGGAGAGCAATCATTTCCGTCCGAGGAAAACGAAAAAGAGAAGAAGGAACATGGAGCAAGGATCGCCTGCGGCTGCGATTGAAGGTGGAGATGGCAACGTAGCAGGAGAGCGGAAGCCGACACAAGAACCTGCAACGAGCAGCACAGCCGATTTTGCAGGCGAGTGCCTGCAACATGCTGACCGCCCGGACAGAATTCTTGGTGGAGTTGAAGGGAAGGCGGATCGACCAATGAACTTGCCACGAGGGCCGTCCGCGGGCTCGACACAGCGCATTGTCGTAAGGAATGCCTTCGGCTGCACCACAGACGGTCTATCAGCAGCGTCGGAAGCCAACGACACTGCCTTGGCTCGCATTCCTCAGAGACCAGACCAACGCAAGCATCGACGCGTTTTCGACTTATCTACTGCACGCCCGCCCAGCCGCTCGAATTGGCTCAATGAGTTTGATGATACACGTGATCGGCACACGCTCAGCCGTGCTCGATCAGGGACGTCTCGAACATTGCCAAATCGTACGCTCACGCCTGAGCAGCACCATTGTTATCAATCTGTGCGTACTGAATCTGAGGCTGCTGCGCGGGATTCGAAGAAGCTGTTTGCACCGCCGATTTCAGCGGGCGAGCTCAACGGTAACGCTGCGCCCCTGAAGAGCCCTTGTCACTCGAAACCACGTGTTGCGACACCATCCAGTGATGATTTCGGAGCGGTCGACGACGAAGATCTCTTCGCTGCTGAGCAGGAGTCAGAGCTTGCCCAGGATGATACAACGCCTCGCCTCGATAACAATACAGTCTGGATAGATCCGATCAGTAAGCAGGTATTCCAAGTGAACTCGAGAACCGGCGTGGTACTTCCTATATCAGAATCACATCGAGCGACTTCTAGCTGTGGTTCCGCTCAGGAACAACGCCATCGGGCTGCTATTGACACTGCTGTGTCTTCTGCTGGCAGACCAATGAGCCTCGCTCGCCGAAGTGCTTTGGCTAGCACCAGGCCACAAAGCGCCGTTAGCGACAAAGACAAGTGGCTACCTGGCTTTCTGGAAGAATGGAAGAATCCTGTCTTTGCGAAGAGAAAAGAGGAGCCTATTCCTACTGCTTCGATCAGTGGTCCTGGCTTGATCGAGCAGCTCGAAGAAGATAGGAGGTGTTGTGCTGCGGACAAGTATCAACAGGCTTTTGCAGGTCATGGCGCGAAAACAGGAGGGCTTGGTGGCACGAAACTGTCCAAACACGCATTGAGTGATGCTGAAGTCATTGGCCAGGTTGATCGAAAGTTCATCTTGGTGAGGATGCCAGCGCGTCGTCATAATCACGACGATGAACCCACGCACAATCAGAATGGCGCGGGCTCAACTTTGGTTCTGATTGATCAACATGCCGCATCAGAACGAATCATCCTGGAAGATCTTCTTGCAGATATGCTGCTTACACCGACAGCTGACACTGCTTCAGACCAACAAACCTTTCCTGGTCCCATCATCAAGACTTCCTCTCTCGTCCATTCCACCACCCGGGCCAAACCTTTGATATTCGAAGTTTCCACCCATGAATACGAGCTCTTCTCTCGTCACCTTTCCCACTTCACATATTGGGGCATCACATACCAACTCCCATCACCAACATCCGCCCACAGTCTCGAAGGCTCTCCGCCCCAAAGCCGCCGCCAAGTCCATCATCACCAGCATCGATTAGTCGTCACCCATCTCCCCACCGTAATCGCAGAACGCTGCTCCCACTTCCCCGCCCTCGCCATCGAACTCTTACGAACCGAGCTCTGGGCCATCGAAGACGGTTCACGGAAACCCATCACTTCCACCACCACCACCACCACCAATCGAGAACCATCTCCCACCACATGGTTATCTCTCCTCCCTCGCATGCCCACCAAACTGCTCCATATGATCCAATCACGAGCGTGCAGAAGCGCAATCATGTTCAATGACATTCTTCCCACAGCCGAATGTCGCGACACGGTGACGAAATTGGGAAATTGTATTTTTCCTTTTGTGTGTGCTCATGGGAGATGTGGAGTTGTGCCTGTGATGGATTTGGGATCTTCTTCTTCTTTTTTGAATAGTCACAACATAGGAGTGGGAAGAGAAGAAAACGAAAAAGAAAAAGAAGCAAACCCTCCCAAGAAAACCTACCTTGAAAATCCCGCAGCGCAATTCAACAAGTTGTCAAGCAATTATGGCGAGGCGTCATTTTTGAATGATAATAGAGAGACAAAGATCGAGTTGCTCGATTTGGGCAAATTGAGACAATTCATGCTGGTTGCCGAGGAGGGGGAAGAAGAAGAAGAAGAGGACGAGATTGATGAAGATGAGGATGAGGATCAAACCATGACAGAGCAAAGTCCGCATAAGTTTGGTTAAGGTTGGTTATAAAGAATTCTCGAATTCTAGAAAAGAAAGAAAGAAATAACAGAAACAGAAACAAATGCTGTCTGTCTGTCTGTCTGTCGTATAATCCTATATAAACAGATAGCTATAAAAACGAGAACGCTGCGCTAAAATCTTCATTTCTGTTAATACTCCCCTTAGTCCTACCTGTCTATTATCTTTATTCTTTCTCCCTTTAGAGTAGAGAAGACGCGAGGTTTAATAGACTATAGTCTGAAATAAGAGTCGGATAGTCGTGATTAGTTATTATACTTCTAAGAGCTAGACTTGGTCCTTACTAAGTAGGGGACAGAGTACCTCCTAAGTCGGTTACTAGGAATTCTACGCTTAGTAAAGGATATATCGCTTGAGGTTAGGCTTAACCTCGTTCGCGTAAAACAGCTTGTAGGAAGGCTTACTGCGGATTCGACTAGTAAATAAAGCGAGACAATCGCTATATATAAAAGCCCTGCCGAATGCTTGTTTTCCTTCTGTAAGTAGCTTCTCTCTAGTCTGAGTGTCGGGAGTCCGCTACGAAGGAGGAGCCGTTTCAACCCCTAAGGTTGATAGGTTCATCTTCCGTGGCTCTAGTACTAATACAAGCATTCGATTGATCGTAAGAGTCATGATTGCTTCGTGACGTGTAAGAGTAATGTGCATCGCTCGATGGACCATCCTCTTCCAACGGTTCGTTCGGGCTCGATGCTGCGTGTGTTCCTCCTAGATGAAATCAGACGCTCCCTTTCGACGACGGACCTTCTCTGGGAACAAATCTCCTCCTCCCCCGCCTGCTGCGATCCTGCTGGAGAACAAATCCTGTCGTTCTTTGCTCGCGCCGAGGAAAGATATTGTCTCATTCTTGGCCCCAGCGCCTTTAATGCTGAAGCCATTACTAGTCGCCTTGAGATCTGCGTTCAGTCTGCCTGCTTGAAGAGATGTCTCGTTGCGTGCAAACAAGTCTCGAGGCTTGCTGTCTTTGATACGTTGGAAGAGATCTCTTGGTTTCTCGCTTGCTCGATCATTGTCGCGTGCATTTCGGCCTGATTTACCGTCGTAAGTATCGTGTATTTTCGTCCGAGTTGACATTGAATGTCACTGCACCCTTGCCACAATCATGGCCACTGGTAACTGCAGAGGAGATCTTACCTGATGTTGACTTGTGTGGGAAAAGATCGCTCGATGATTTATCGTGACCCTTCAGTTCCAAACTTGCCGATGACTTCTTACCTGGGAATAGTTCTGACTTCATCTTCTCGCTAGCCAGACGATTCTCATTGCTCAGTCGACGTCGTGGCGGAGGTGGCGATCGTCGGCGGGCGGTCTGTCGGTAAGGCTGATCATCGCTGAATCCAAATCGTCCATCTCCTTCTCGTGCTGGCGATCTACTTCGAGAACGGTCCTTCAACCTGCCATCTGATCGATTGATGATGAGATCCTCGCCTCGCGTGGACCACCTGTCCGAAGCTCTGTCATCCAAAGTATTGCTGACTTTGTGAACTCTTTCATTCGGACCTTGTCTTGCAGCCACCGAAGCGGGATCGTCATCGTACAAGTTGACATCAAATGGCTTCTCTACCGTCGGGCTTCGCGTGCTACGCGGTCGCTCATGTCGGCCATAGCCACCGCCTCGCCGTGGCCTCCCCCCTCTGCCTCTTCCTCCTCGTCCTCTACCGGGTCGGTTCTCCGGGTCGTACTCAGGATGCATCAGGTAGAATGCGCTCTGTACAGCAGCGTTCTTCACCTTCTGGTCCGTCACTACTGCTTGTCGTATGCTCAAGTCAGCCTGTGGGTGCGTGATGGATGCTTTCGCAGGTCGCAGCTCGAGCGGATCCTCTACCTGCGCAGCAGCGAGTGTACGAAGGGCGTCAGCTGCGGCTTCTGGTGTATCGTAGACCAAGTTGGCGCTATAGTCGTTAACCCACTCGACTCTTCGGAAGGCATCACTGGGAAAGTGGTCGCGCGCAAAGTTCTCCACGTCCTGCGTGTTCATTTCCGCCAGTCCTTCAATGTGTACCTTTGTCGCCGCAATCTCAGCTTGCGACACTTCGCCGTCCTCCGTCTCCGTCTCCGCTTGGACTCCATTCATGGTCTCATTGTCGGCGTCTGCTGCCATTGACGGTCGCTGTGGTAATCCGTTAGTTTACGCGCCCCATTGCCAGCCAGCTCTTCAGCTCTTCAGCTCTTCGCGGTTCTTGGGGAGAAGTCCACGCACCGCATGTAGCTCTGCGGCCGCCTTTTGCATCGCTGCCAGTTCGGGATCCACGTCGGCGTCCATGTCTACGTCCATTTCAAAGTCCATCGTGTCGTCGGTCGTCATTATGCCGGTATGCGTCAGCTCGACGTCGGCAGAGTAAGGGGAGGATGCACGTAGCAAGGCCCTCGGCGCCACGTTGTTGTCGAGCTCCAGCGCGGTCGACGGTGCGCGTGGAGGAGTAGGTCGTTGGTGAGTGGGTGGGTGAGTGGTGGTGGTAGTGGTGGTGGACGGTGATGGTGGACAGTGGTGATGGTGGACGGTGGACGGACAATGGTGTTGGTAAGTCGTGTCGAGGTCAACAGTGAGAAATCGAGTCGGCGCGCCACTCCTATTGTTGGTGAGTGAAGGAAGGAATTTTGTCGTCAGCCTGGTAGGGCTGTGATGAAATCGTGCAAGGAAGCCGCGATGCAAACAACCAAAGGCAGTTGCAATTGCCGGATGAGGCTGAGAACCTTCTTTGGCACGTGCCGGTCGGCCCGAAATTGCTCAGTTCTAGTGCCGAATGCCGATCCGTGCCGGGCCCTCTGTGCTTCACTTGTCTCGACACACCTTGTCACATGCAAACACATCCAGATTCTCACCTCTGATTCTCGCAACTGGCGCAAATGGACATTCCGGCAGTATTTCAAGGATAGCGACGCTGTTTCTCTGTCTCTAATACCGATTAACTGATAGATCGAGCCCGCTCGATGCTGCGTAGGCAAAGCGATGTCGAAAGAGGCAGGCAACGACCACATTTTCCTCAGCCCTAGAACAATATCCTTCATTGTGTCAAGTACTGACTGACTCGAGGAAGTGCTTTGTGCGGACCTTCGACGCCGAATTAAGACCTACAAGACTCTCCCAGCCTAATCATCCCAAAACACCAAGCTCCTCAACTCAATACTCTGCCTCTGATCTCCACAATCTTCATCACAAGTGAAAGCAGTATGTGGCGTCCTTCTCGCCACGCCATCCTCCTCACTCGAGTCGAAAATCTTAATGAACAACACCTCGGATGGATCCATGTGGGAACAGTAATACCATTGATGCTGCTCCGGAGTTTTCGGAGCAGCGACCGACCACGTCTCGACATCATTGCGATTATACGCTGCTCGAGTGATGGGAGGGAGTTTCTCCGCGTCATCTGGACGTCGGAATTTGGCGATGACGGGTCGTAATTCGGCGTCGGAAATGGAGCGTGCGTCGAGCAAGGTCAGATTCTCGCGCGTGATGGGGTAGATGGGACGCCAGATGTTGATGATGGCCCAGCGTTTCTTGCTCAGTTCAGCAGATTCTTTGGGGAGGTAGAAGTCCAGACGGGTTCGAGCTCCATCGTAGGAATAGTCTTGCAAATCGTCGTTAGCTCGGGGAGAGAAGTAGGGAGTGTGATGTCCAGGTGTGCTGCTGCTGCTGATCATACTCACCCACGTGTATGTATCGGGCAGAGGTGGGGACAAGGGTTCTTTCCATGTCGTCCTGGTGCTTGGTAACTTCTTCCATCGTGTCCCAATTCTGTTTCCGACAGACATGTCCCATGACATGTACGCGAGAAGCTCCCGTCCTAGATTATTACATCTCATACTCAGTATGAAAAGCGCTGCACACACCCCCTCTCATAGGCAGATCACACACTCACATCTTCTTCATCAAATCCGCACATTCCTGATAATAGACTTCTCGAATCCTCTCGTGACTATTCGTATCTTCCGGAGTCAATCGACTGCTCGCCCGGGCGTATTGAAAACCATGCGTATCCAACTGGAAATCCTCTTCACGCCCACGCATATCGGTGATGGGGACTCGCACATATTCGAACGGGCGGCGCTTCTCGCCCACCGTTCCAAACCAGAACTCGTCATATCCACCCTTTTCGGGCTCGAGAAAGTAGTTGAGAGTCGCGTGGACGACGTGAGGCTCGGGAGAAGACATGACGGCGGGATCGCTCACTGTCTGGGATTTCTTTTTGTTATTATTTTGGGGGAGATACTGTAGGTCAGTCATGAATCCTTTGTAGGAAATTTGGAGTTTCAGCTACTCATGAGAAGACCTCTGAAGAACTTCGGCATTACGAACAACATCGCTTGTAGGCAGAAGTCTCGTTGTCGCTCTTCAGACGGATTCACACGTGTCTATGTGTGTGGCAAGTAATTCACAGCAGAGGTCTTGTAGCTAGCGGGGGTCATGTTTCGCCACGTCATATTTCCAGGGGACATCCTCATCTCTCACGGGTCACAATATCATCTTCCCCTGACAAAAGGACCTCGACTACATGATCACATTCGGTAGGACGCTCGATAATGATACTAGGCTCGGCCCGGTCTCATCACACCGCAGCTGTCAGCCGGGCTGTTACACCCTATTGTTCTACTACCTGTTAGGTTCTAACTGTAAAGGACGAAGCTATCATTGCTCTAAGCGAGGAACGCTAATCGATCGATGTAGGAAGAAGCTTACTCACTTGCAAGATAAAGTATTGGGGAAAGATGGGAAAAAGAAGAGGAGAGATAGAATGATGGATTTTTTCCTGACTTTCGGCGATTTTCATCGTCAATTACCCCTGAAATACTCTACTGCTCACTTGTCTCTTGTTTCTCACTCCAGCGTACAACCATCCCGACGCGGAGCAGATATGCAACTCATCCTGGTACCGCGGTATATCTACGGACCCTCTCAGAGCGGCATTCCAGACGTCATCTATCATCCATCCATCCATTCATTCATCTTCTTCTTCTTCCGCCCAGCACTCCTCTCACCCTCCTTCCATCCCAAACAGAGCTACTCTTCACGCATCACGCTCTCCGACTCTTCCTAGCAAATTTCTCTCGCAACAAATACATAGCAACCACACCCACAATCGCCAGACCGCTAAACATGACCAAGATCTGATATCCATAATCGTACTTTGGCGCATCATATGTCGGAAATGCAGCGAGTGGCAGCCACGCATTCCATGTATATGAAGCTACGTTCCCGCACGCCACGAGCATTTGGCGGAGAATGGGATCGCTGGCTGCGAGATGGTTGCCCCAGGACTATAAATCGCGAAAAAAATTAATTTTTGAGATGGAAATGTTTGGAAAGGAAATATACACATGTGAGGCTTGATTGCTGGTTTTTTGTTCGTTTGGGGGAAGAAAGGGATGGGGGGAAATAATCACACGGCGTGTAACGGGAACAGGAGGTACATGTATGTACTTACAATAACAATCGGCTGCGCAGCCAAGCCTACATAGCTGAGATAGTACGCAAACAGGAGACTTCCTTTCGACAAATCATGACCCGAGCACCACGCCGCAAGCATGGAATTACTCGTTATGACGATTCCTTGCAATAGGACCACCAGAGTGGCATTCCAGCCCGTCTGGTCTGCGAGGATGCCGAAGAAGAGTGCGGCGACGACACTGAGTGCGTCGCCTCCGGTGGGAAGAATGTTGATGTCGACGACGCTCCAGCCGTCCCATTTTAGATAGAGGTTGAAGTATTTGAGACCGGAGATGGCTTGGCCGACCATGTTGTAGGGGCTATAAAAAATATGTATGATGATGGTGGCAATGAGTCAGCTAAATCATGGCGACTACATAATTTGTCGGGGGATGTGTGTTGAGCGCTTACAGGATGAAAAGCCAAAGTCTCCAGTTTGTGAAAACTCCCCAGAGAGCTTTGAGCGTGAGCTTGGGTGTGGGAGGTCTTCCGAGTTGCTCGACGCGTGAGAGGGTATATTCTTTGTCTGCTGCCGTCCAGTAGAATGCTCGAGTGTTGTGTGGTAGGTCTGGGATGGCAAAGTATCCCCAGAGACCAATGGGGATGCCGATGATGCCGTCAAAGACGAACATCCATTGCCTGGGATGATAGGTTAGCGCAATACGTTTTTAAGTCACGCCAAGTGTCAGGATAATGAACGAGTTCCCTACCATCCACGAAGTCCGAGATGACCATTCATGCCTTTGTAAAGCGCGGCTTGCAAATAGCCAGAGAACATGTTCCCGATGGCAGAGGATTGCTCGAAGAGAGCAGCGCGTTTCGCCTGTCATAGTCCGGCATCAGAAGTCAGCTTTGGGATATCAGGAACGGATGATTGCAACTTACCAGCTGATTCACCCCATACCACCCACCAAGCAGAGCAGCAAAACCAGGAAAGCAACACGCTTCTGCAAAGCCCACGAAGAACCTCAGAGCATATAGCGTCTCAACATTCTTCGCGAAACCCATACCCACTACGAGAATGCTCCAAAAGATTTCACAGCTCGGAAGCCAGATACCTAAATTTTCACCCCAATCATCATCAGCCAACAACAACATCCTGCCGATCTTTTTTTCTCTAGTAGTAAGAAACAAAAACGACAAATATACTTACTCGGTCGAACATGTTCCACCTGAATCAACTGACTCGGAATCGTACCCAGCAGAATCCCAATATTGAACCACGTATTGAGCCAATTTCTCTCGTTGCCATATAAAGCAAGATCTTCCTGCATGCCCGACACAAACGCATTGGAAATGTTGGTTTGGTCGAGTTGTTTGATGAAATATGCCAGACACATGTAGGAGAGGAGAAAGGTGTCGAGTTTGCGGACGTAGCGCCGTTCTTGGGGGGTGCCGTCGAAGGTATCCCATACGATGCCTATGATGCGACGCCAGCGGGAGTTGGGTGGTGCAGGAGAAGGAGGAGAGGAAGTTTGTTGTTCGATTTCGGGGGTGGGCTGTGGTGTTTGTTCTTCGGATGCTGGGGTGATGTCGACAGTGACTGGAGTGGGCTTTTCGTTGAGCCCCATGATGGTTGGTAGCTGTGTGATGTGTGATGTGTGTGTTGGTGTGTATGTACGACAGGTCAGTGTCAGGTTCACATCTTAAAGTAAAAGAATTCTCTGAGGCGTATGATGATTATACAGTAGACATGATAGGTGAAGAGAGGTAATCTATGTGGATAAAGCTCTGGTTCTTGGCCTCGCTTCCAATTGGGTTGCTGCAAGAAAATCGCCATCACTAGTGTCAGTAGCTCTTCACTTGGTATGCGGACATTGATGGGCACTTGGCAGCCGGGTTCATATCTACAGCCGGGTCGAATCTCGGATGAAATAAAGTGTTGAGGTGATCAATGCCGAGCGAATGCAGATGGATCGGCGCTCTCGAGCCTGCAGAAGCTCTCTGGGTCTACTCTTCTGCTGCCCGAGACTAGACGAGCTGGAGCTGAGCATACTCATCACAGACTTCCACTAGCTTTTTGAAGTTCCCGGGTTCCTAAGATAATATCAGTGGTTCCGAAAGAAGGTGACAAATGTGGACATGATGTGCCTGACCATAGCACTGTGACCTGACATGGGAATCATATAGAGCTTGGACTCGGGTAAAAGCTTGTGCAAGTCCCATGCGGTGCGTGGAGGACAGACGAAGTCGAATCGACCCTGAATAATACTGGCTGGAAGAAGATCAGAGGCGAGTGATGCCAACAGGGACAAGACTGCTTACTGGGAATATGCTTAATCTTATCAATGTTCTCGGGTCGCAGCAGTTCGCCATCTTCCAGGAAGATATTATTTTGGAAGTAATGGCACTCCAGAACGCCATGCGCCAGAGAGAAGTCGTCGTCTTCCAGCTTCGTGTAATCCTCCGGTTGCGGCTCGACTTTGCTCAGACTGAACTCATATGAGTTGTAGACTTTGGCTGCAGCACGACGGACTTCGTGATCTGGAGAGCTCAACAACTTATGATATCCCTGAAAAAGATCGTGGCGATCCTCAAGTGGTAAGTAGTTGATGTAGTTCTCGTACTGTTCGGGAAACAACATCGCCGCTCCTTTCGCGCCATTCACATAGTCTGTCTCCAGCTTCCGACCACAGAAGATGCCACGAAGGACGAGAGAGCCCACGGCGGCAGGGTACGTTTGTGCGTACAGAAGAGCAAGTGTACTGCCCCAGCTGCCACCGAATACCATGTGCCACTTGGAGATGTGTAAGTGTTTTCGCAAGGTCTCGATATCCGCCACGAGATGCTGCGATGTGTTCTCGCGAGTCTCGGCCACGGGTCTAGACTTGCCCGCGCCTCGTTGGTCGAGTAGAAGCACACGATATACCGACGGGTCGAAGAAGGCCGTATTCCCGATGGAGGTGCCGGTTCCAGGGCCACCATGCAAGAAGATCACTGGCTTGCCATCCTGATTGCCATATTGTTCGTAGTGCAGCTTGTGAATCTCACCAACAGACAGAACACCACTGTCGAATGCTGCTCTATGCGAGTAGCCTGTCACCATACTGACTGCTGCGATTTCAATAGGCAGAAGTGACTCGCAGTAGTTAGTGTTGACAGCAAGCAGCAGAGAAGAAGAGGACAGACGGAGTGAGTGGTGAGAAAGTGGCGGTTGTATACGTATGTCGTTTGAGAAGGTCAGTATACTACGGTAGAGCCACTCACACTGACACCGTCTTGGCGTGGTATTGAGTGATTGTGGTAGGGAGGATGGACTGTTCAAGAAAACAACATAGGTTAGGTAGTATAGGACACAGACTTCACTGCCAAGGATAAACGTGATTGCAACACGTGACTCTACAGGCCCCGGTCAGTCACATGAGCCACGACCAAGACATACTCCTCTTCTTCTTCCTCGCTGACAACTCCCTCGCACCCCTTCTTTGCCCCTTTCCCCCCTTTTCCCCCGGAGGATCAATATTTGTAGCATCCCTCTCCCTCTATAGGAAGCACAGATGATGCAAGGCTTCCAGTTCCTACGGCTTGAAGTTCTAACAGCTTACAAATCCACACCGGTGGAGAACTCTGGGAGAGAGCTTGCGCTTGGACGTTTCAGAGAGGAGAGCTGAGTTCCAGGCGGAGAAGCTCGTAGAATTGTTTTTGATGCTCAGAGGTATATAATAAGTGTGTCCCGACCAGAGATCTCCTGACAGTTTTTCATTCACTCTCAATATTGCAATTCTTTGGATTTCACGTGCATATCCCCTCCCCTCCCTGCTTCAAATCAAACCAGCCTGCCTACCTCAAGATGTCTTCTTCTCTGACTACATATGACCTCACGGTCCCCATTTTCGTTCGCAACCTCGAGCAACTCGTCGCGTGTCTCAAAAAAGGCGAAGAATGGGCCAAAGACAACAACAAAGACCCGCAAGTTCTAGTAGATGCGAGTATCATTGATGATATGAAGGTTCGTAGTAATTTACCTTCATCACTCACTTCCTGTACCAGCTCATGACTTTTTCTCCGGCTGACATTCACAAACACAGCCTTTGACTTTCCAAATTCAAAGCTGCTGCAACACTTCCAAAGCAGTTTTGCCTCGCATTGGAGGCGAAGAAGCAGTTTCTGTAGAGGACAACGAGACGACGCTCTCTCAGCTCTTGGCCCGATTGGAATCGACTATCAAAATTCTGAGAAGTGCGAAGAAGGACAAGTTTTTGGCTCCTGTACGTTACACTACCTTACCTACCTATTCGTGCTTTACGTCATTTCACTTTTTTTCCCTTCCCCACGAGATTCTTTTCAAAAACTCCTCACCTTCAAACAAAATAATGTAGTAAGGTACATGTACCTAAGCTGACTGGTTCATAGGATGCCAAATGCGTCGTCAAACTAGGTCCACGAGAAGCCGAATTTGACGTGTTGGGATATATTCAGAAATTCGCCCTTCCCAACTTCTTCTTTCATATGACGACTGCATATGATATCTTGCGCAAGGAGGGTGTTCCAGTTGGCAAATTGGATTTTTTGGGTGGATCGGATCTTACTACTTGGACTATGTAGAAGTACAGTACCTACTTCTTAGGTAAAGAGGGAGATTGATGGGCTTGGGGAAATACATACTTGATGATCAACAGGACTTTGAAAGGGCAGAATTGAGAATAACAATGACAGAAAGATGATGATGATGATGATCCAGCGTCAGATATTTTACTCTTAAGTTCTACTTAGGACTCATTTATTATCATGTACGATTGGTATGCTGCAACAACAGAATGACAACGAGATGATTCTATTTCCGAGTGTGGCGTACATGTATGTATACGAGAAGGCTGGGTCAACCTTTCCCAAAAACATGCTGTGTCCCTGGACGTTGCTCCAGGATGAGCGAACTCAAAACGACTTCTTTCCACTACCTTACTCTATACCAGGGTTCATAGTGGGAAGTAGGTAACCACTCATCGCCACGACTCTTATTACATGTACCTTATTTAGTAGGTAGTAAGTCCCAGTAGACAGTCCGACGGACGTCCTTCCAACTCCATCATCATCACCATCGTGGGACCAAAAAACCTCTCTTGTTCATCTGCCATGAATCTCCTCACCAGCCTCGCAATCCTCGCAATTCGCCTGTCCCACGTCCTCGCCGACGAAGATGATATCGCTGTCGGTCACCACATCATCTGGTCTTACCCAGGACCTAACATTCCTCAAACCCTCCTCGACGCAACGCAAGCCGGGAAAGTCGGAGGCGTAATCTTCTACAGCGAAAACATTGACAAAGCACAAGATCTTCCCGGTCAGATCCGCGCTCTCCAAGATACCTACAAGCAGTCTCCCGGATATGCCGGTTTCCCTCTTCTCCTCGTTACCGATCAGGAAGGCGGAATTGTCAATCGTCTACCTGGAGGTCCCTCGCAATCCGCAAAGTCCATTGGTGCCAGTCCAGACCCTGTGGCGGCAGCCCGTGACGCGGGCAGTCAAGTGGCGACGGTGTTTTCTCAATATGGTATCAATGGGGACCTGGCTCCGGTATTAGACGTTCACAGAGCAGAGGGAGACTTTACGGATTCGCAACAACGCTCCTTTAGCTCCGATCCTACCAAAGTGGCAGAAGCTGCTGCGCCGTGGATTCAAGCTCTGCAGGAGAAGGGTTATCCGGCTACTGCAAAACACTTTCCCGGATTGGGCAGCGCCGCGACACAGCAGAATACAGATCGGGTGCCTGTGACTCTCAACACCAGTGCGGATGACTTGAGAAATGTGGATATGTTTCCTTATACTGCAGCAATTCAGGCAGGCGTGAAGATGGTGATGACTTCCTGGGCCATCTACCCTGCTCTCGACGCCGACAAACCTGCGGGCTTGAGTCGGAAGATTGTGCAAGAGGAACTTCGGCAACGACTGGGCTTTCAAGGTGTCACTATTACGGATGCACTAGAGGCAGGGAGTCTGACATCTTTTGGAGGTACGGGAAACTTGGCTGTGATGGCTTGTCAGGCTGGAATGGATATTGTACTTGCTTCTGTGAGACGTGTCAGTCAAGGAGAGGATGCTCATGTAGGGATTGTGCAGGCTCTGAGGGATGGTGGAATTGATCGGACAGAGTTTGACCAGGCGACGGAGAGGATCATTGCAATGAGGAAAGCCTTGCCGCAGTGAGCAATGTCTGCTGTTACAGTCCGCTCTTCAGTATCTTACCCAATTTGACCATCTCCGGCTCCCTCTTTCGAAATCTGTCATTCAGTCGCCTACCTAGGTCATGGTCGGCAACTGATCTCACCACAGATGAGCCGTTGGTTGACGTCGTGCTGACTGAAACCCTGTAGTGCCTGAGACGGACGTGAGCAATATCTCGAGCAGTGCCTGGAAGAAGGGCACGATGTCCATAAGCCCGACCGAAGATGCCAGCTGCACATCGGCTTCTTTTGCTCTCCAGAGTAGTTCTACCTACCTCTTCCCCATTCTCCTGTTCTGAGCGTGTCTCGAGTGAAATTTTCCAGTTGGTCTCGTGTTGAGAAGTCGTCGTCTCAGAGCGGGCTTGCGCTGGGTACTGAATGGTAGGATGCATCTCGAATGCGGGAGGATTGGACGTCGCGCAGTCTGCTGTCGCTGCGGTCAAGGCCAAAGGATCTGTCGATGCCTCTGGAGGCGGTCAGCATTCATGTGATACCCACCATGCCAGTTGCCGCTTCCTTTTTGTCGGTTGAAGTGCCCACGCGGCTCGAGTGATATGATGCTGTCCTGAAATGGCCCGCCGTGCTTGCTGTCGCGGTCAGGCAATCAGAGGCCCGCGAGACATGATCGTACCACGGCGAGTTGGCGTTGTGCACGATGGCGGAGTGGTCTGGGGTGATCATCTACAGGTCGACAGCCACCAATGTCTTCAAACTTTCTGGAACTTGGCCAAGTGTCAAATGCGAGTAGTATCGCACTATCTCTACCGCGCGTTTCATCATGTTATTGCAGCCTGCAATAGCTTGGAGAAGAAGCTCTTCGCTCCCCTTACTGATCATTCGATGCCTTAGAAATGTTGCCCCCAGTCTGAAGAGAGCCGTCTTCTCCTCGGCAGCATCAGCACCAGCGCGCTTTCCATTTTCATCGCCGTGCTGCTTCTGTGTGCTTCTATTCCAGTTGGATTAGTAAAGTCCTAGCGCCTTGGCTTGCTGTTGGAGTATAAGGGGCCTTCTCTCCTCGCTCCCCAACCATCTTCCTTTCTTCTTCACCAACTGGCCGCCAACCAGTGTAGCAGCACATCCTTTGGATGTGTATGCATCTCACACAGAACAAGATGTCTCTTTCGTCCACTCGTCTGTCAGCTCGCCTGCTTTCTGAGATAACTGATCGATGACACACATCCCAACATCCCGTTTTCATCATGTTGTTGCATCTTGCAGCTGCTTGGAGAAGATCATGCCTCTACGATCGCCGCCGTGTACTGTCATTCGTGCTTCTGACTGCGAGAGACAATGGTAGTGAGGACCATGCCGCACACCCATACTTGTAGTCTCTGACGTCTTTCTTTTGAATTGCGACGAAGCCGTCAAATCTCTTCCACAATCTCTTCCACCTCACGTTCTTGTGAACAGCAGAAGCAGCAGCAGCAGCGACAACAACAGCCACCGCCGCTCTAGTCATCACCCTCTTCGCCACCAAAGCCTCTTACCACCAACTATCCTGCTACCGCGCCGCCGACCAAGAAGCGAGAAGATGGACTACAGCATTGAGCTCCACAGGCATACCCGCGAACAGCAAGCAAGCAAGAGCACCGTCGCCGGAGCACAACATGGCAGCACGGTAGGAGAAGGGACGCGACACCATAAGCGATGGGAGCAGCAGCTGGACCGCATGAAGACAGACTTGGGAGGCAGAGGCCGGGTGCAGACCATGGCAGAAGAAGACACCGGTGGCAGGGTCACAGCCGCGAGAGCGGCAGCAGGTGAGGATGGCGTGCTACTCAGCCAAACCGAGCCACCCATGCCACCAAAGATCCTCAAGCGGCGCGAGCAGCATTTGAAGCGCATGCGAGAAGCTTTGGGGAGCCCAGCCTTGAGATTTGTCGAAGAAGAGGGAGGAGAAGACCAGAAACAACATCCTGTGTACACTCTCTGCGCGTGCTGCGTCTTGCAGTGATGATTTGCCCTTTGAGCCGAGCGTGCTTCTTTTCGAGTGTGCAGATCTCTGCCACTGTAGGTACAACCACGGGGAGAGAATAATTGAACAAGGGATCCGAGAGGACGTCTTCCTTATGTGATCACGCTCTGCAACATGCCCCTGCAGTACTATCCTTGTCATCGCTTCCTTGGGCGGAGTCCTCATACCATCGCGAGAGCAGGCATGCTGAGCTGACAGTTGCCCAGTGCAGACCTCTCCATCCTCTGAAATACAGGAGGGCAGTCGGGTACAGTTGTAGTCGCTGCAAAGGTCCACTCGAGAGTTTCATAGCGGACCGCAGAGTTTCGGGCTCCATCCCACAGCTCTCGAAGGTACCAGCTCCTCTCAAACCCAATTCCACTAGGCACACTGAATTTTCAAGCTGCGATGATGACTCGGCTGAGATCAGAAACCTGACGAGAGCAATGTGTGTTGCTCTCCTCAAGTTGCCATTGCTCGTTGGAGTACATGCGGATACTCGACCATCACACGCTCGTATGTTAAGGTGAGTGGTATTCCCGATGCTCGATCAGTCTCTGGCAGAATGACTTCGCTGATCACTCAAAACTGCTATTCCTGAGCTGAGATGATGACTTTTGTGGGAATATGTACGGCACGGATTCGAGCGGGCTAAGCATGTCCGAAATTGCCACTTTCTGACACAAGAGTTTGGTATGGTCGGCAGAATTGCTGATGACCAAGTTGGCCTCAAGACACCATCATAGGCATGCTGTTACCTTGCATGCCCGCTCCTGAATCGTGGCTATGCCCAGGATGATGATTGCACATGGCTTGATGTTATCACTTCGCCGCATCACTTCAGGACAGCGTCACAGCTTTTCGACAGCAACAAGACAGAGTGGGTTTCGCCTCTGGAAATCTTTGATGCCGCGATGACTTTGGCCAGTTCGTGAAGCTGAGAATTGGGCGGGAGCACTCAGCCAGGAGTTGTGATAGGGCTTTAAGCCAAGCCAAAAAGTGAGCCGAATTTGCGCCGAGAAGAAATTGCCGAGACGTCGATATCGCCTCGCAGGGCTATGCAATGCTTGATGACCTGAGCCCTACGAACTGGCCGAGGAGAGGGCTTCGCTCGAAAGCTGTAGATCTGCGATGCTTTTGCTAGCAGCAGGACAGCGACAAAAGCCCAGATCATCGGATGCCACGACAAGCACAGGGCTCGTGAACGCACGAACAAACGCAACAGCAGAGGGCGCGATGATCTTGCTTTACTTGATATGCTCATGTTTCATCTTGCGTGGCACATCGAAGCATGTCCAGTGCAGCCATTCTTCGCCCCCGGGCTATTTCACGAGAGACGACCTGAATGATGAGCTAAGAGCATAAGAGACAGAGGCCATAGCCAAAACTGCGATGCGCAACACAGGCGGGAAAGCGGTACTGGCTGAGAATGCGGAGTCCCTTGAGGCCAGCTCCCGGACTCAGAAGCATGAGTCTCCACTCATGCAAGTCCCATTATCTGGAGTGTATGCATTGCTGTCCTGAAGAGTGACATTTCCACGGCTTGGCCTGCTGCTAGAGTCGGGATAATCGACCCGTATGGTGTCGCGCTCGATGGCAGTCCGGTCGGACATGGGGGCCAGTCGTCCTCCGCAATGCTCATCAGGTGTGACGGAGCTAGTGCAGTCTGCTATACCGGTATGACACAGCGCAATTGCTCGAACAGTACCAGTGAGTTTGGACAAAGCAAGGCTACAAGATGATGGCTCTCGGCACTTTGCGCCCAAGCTTTGGAGCTTTCGTGGAGCGCGGTATCTGTCCTGAAGCAAGCCTCCCACTCTAAGCCATACTGTCGTGAGCCTGTCAGGCAGCCGATCTCCACCGCATGGCGCGTCTTGTCCGCCGTCGTGAAGATGGGGCAGATCTCTCCATACACGCCATGGGGTGTATGGTGTAAAGTTCACGCTGGACGAAACCGTCTTGTTGGATATCAGACATCGCCCTCGTGGCTGCAGCATCGGAGACTGTATCGGAGCGCTTGCCCTTCCTCCTCTTTCTGATCACGAACGAAATCCGGAACAGTTGGAGGATGTTGGGAGTGGGCGGTGGAGACGACTCGATCGGTATTGGTCCTTTGCTGCTCACAACAAAGGCTTCGTGATGATCGATCGCAAACGGAGGGGGCCGTGTCATCGATTACAGCAGGGCTGTGACCTTTGGCGCGAGTTGAAATCGTCCTCCTTGATGAGCTCGCCGGCCACAAGGGTCGCCTTGATCTGAGCAGCCACAATTGCTACTCCTGTTGTGCTGGCTGTCCGCCGACTGGCCTGTGTCACCACTCGCACCTGGTGTGTGTGGCGCCATCGGCACAACACTGAGTTCCAAAAAAAGGAGAGTCACCGGTCCATCGCAATGCTGCCGTCGCTGGCGGAGGCGATGCTCTGTGGCTGTTGGTCTCTCTGGCGTGCCTTCTGTCAACATTGTCGCTGCTCGGACCTCTGTGCATGAAGATTGATCCTGCTAGCCTCCTCGTACTGCCGTGCTCCATAGGATTCCGGCAGTATCGCTGTCCTTGTCCGAGTGCAGTTCCAGCTGATGCGAAAAGTGTTCGCGTCAGGCGTCTGTGCTGGAGCTAGGTACTCGCGCAGATCGCGCACGTCAGTGGTTGGCGACGACAACGTTCAACATCACGCTGGCCTGGACCAAGGCATGCTGTTGTATATCCCCTGATCGCTTCCAGAATGCTCCTCGCTGATGCGTGGTGTGTTGGGTTTCGAGCAGCTGTCCACGGGTGTGACGGTCGCTAGTTTTCGGTCAGCTCTCCCGCGTGTACCTGCTTCACCCAGAATGGCCCTCTGTCCAGATGAGAGTATATGAGGATGTAAAATCATGCTGAGTCATCCAAGTGAGAGAAGCTACCTAGCTTGCTACCTAGCTTCTCTCACTTGGATGCCTGGACAGCCTGGACATTGAATAAGAGAGGTACGTCATTTCATTCACCTTCTCTTCAAATCGAGCGGCAGCGGCAGCGGCAATGGCAATGGCAGGCAATGTGGTGTAGGTGAGTATCAGCTCGCTCCGCTCGATCAAAGATCGAGAAAGCTTCCGGAGAAATATTTTTTTTAATAATTTCTCCTCCAATATCGAGGGTTCGATATCCAGGGTCGCCCTACAACTTTTTGGTCCCACCAGCAAGGTCATGCTCGAGATACCTTTAGCCAAACACTGCGAGACACTCTATAGTGTTGGTGTTTACGGTGGTGAATTTTTTATTTAGTTGACTTAGTTGCTTTGCGATATCACCAGTGTCGAGTCGGCAAAGCCAGCTGGAGCGCTGCCGATAATTTGCCCTCAACACCAACAGCATTACAATCACACGCCGCACGGATACGAGTAGAATTCGCTGAGGATGACAAGAATTACTACAGGGCCATCGTCCAGTTTGCGTGATGATTCATGGGGTGGTGTTGGCATAAGGACTTTTGGAAGCAAGCAGACCTCCGTAACGTCAAGCAGCGCCAAGGAATGGAGGACGACTCGAACCTTGCGAGGCAGCCTACAGTATTACGCGCGAGAGATTGCTAGTCGACAGATAGAGGGCAGTGAGATCTCGAGGACGATGCCAAAGCTACGCGCACTTCTTGCGACCGGAATGAGTGAATATGGCGATGACACTGTCTGGCAGGGTGGAAGGGACCGTAAACAATGGCTTGGCGCGCCAAGGAGTGAGCTCGAATTTCGTGCCCTTTCATTCTTCCGACACCAGCAACCCTTTTCCAAAAAACATCCACCTCCAACACATCAAATATGCTGAGGGTGCGATCAACAACCACCACGACAGCCTCCACGACTGCTGCAGCAACAGGCCTTATTGTAGGTCAGTCCACCTAACAGAGGCAGTGTCGTTTCCGCGACGTCGACCACTTCATCTGTGGTCACTTCGCGGAGGCGCGACAGCTTCACGACGCATCCACCCACACCACATCCCTTGCACCTTCATCAGACATGCAGTCGGTGGTATGCTGACCTTCTCTTACTCGCAGTCGACGCCGGCGACCTTCAAAGATTCATTCCTTGGATCGCGGCGGTCCCTGCTGCCGTGTCGAATCGAGGAGGCAGACATCAAGGCCAGCCTTCCTGCAGCAGGCACAACATCCAAGTGCTCATGCGCCACCGTCCGTCGCCTTGATTGTGCAGCTGCCACCGGGAGGATGGATTGGAGAAGAAAAGACCAGCGGCGGGACTCAACGCCTCCTTTCCTGACCGGTGCCTCGCAGCTGGCAGTCAAGGCACTTCTGCAGCGCAGCACGCACTCTTGCTGGCAAAACAAGCCACTTTCTGGAGATACCGGAACTACGTTGATGGTCCGCGTGTAGCGAGATCACCATCGCACGTGGACCGTCACCAACAAGCATATCCCACTTTCAACCCTTCCCCGTCAAAACAAGAAATGGCGTGATATGGCATGCTGGCTCATGTGCGGGGACGCGACCCCGAGGATATCACCAGCGAACATATCCCACTTTCAATTCGACCGTTGTGTCCCCTCTGGCGAGGTAGCGGCAGGGTATGTGTGCTTGCCCATGTGCGAGGACGCGACCCCGAGGATATTACCAGCAACAATATCCCACTTTCAATTCGATGATTCTCCTCCTCCTCCTCGAGCGATTACATGGCCCGCAAGACTAGCCGCTCGCCTGGACGAGAGGAGGTTCGGAACCAGAACCACGTTGACGGTCCGCGTGCAGCGAGATCACCATCGCACGTGGGCCGTCACCAGCAAACATATCCCACTTTCACCGCCTTCAACGACTTCCATTGGTCACCCACCGTTGTACTAGTCCAGCGATTACGTGCTTATATATGGCAGAGCGGACGGGATGCCTGGTGTGTGGACCGTCACCGGCAAACCTATCCCACTTTCAATTCGATGGTTCTGCTGGGATGGTCGACGTTGGACAACTTCCTGACACTATTCCGGACCAAGTCGATAGTGTTGTCGGTGACACACTTCCGGACCAAGTCGATAGTGTTATCGGTGACACTCTTCCAGACCAAGTCGATAGTGTTATCGGTGACACTCTTCTGGACCAAGTTGATAGTGTTATCGGTGACACTCTTCCGGACCAAGTCGATAGAAGAGCTGGGATGGTCGACGTTGGACAACTTCCTAACACTCTTCTGGACCAAGTCGATGGTGTTATCGGTGACACTCTTCCGGACTAAGTCGATAGTGTTATCGGTGACACAGATCTTGGGTTCAAGAGAGAACTGCTCCAGGAAAGTCACTTGTATCAGCAAAAGCGTGTATATTAGCTTTCTTTCTTTCTTTTCTTCCTTTGTATAACCATGTCCTTTGTATAATCATCTCCTTTGTATAATCATCTCCTTTGTATAATCATCTCCTCTGTATAATCATCTCCTTCTCTGTATCATCATCTCCTTCATTGGCCTTATAACAGTCTTCGGCGAACCATCAGTTGCGATTCTGCTGTCGATAGCTGTGTGCGGAAAGAGTGCTCTACAGCCAAGGTTCGAGGTAGCTCAGGTAGCTGAACTTGTCAAGATAAACCTCAACATGAATTCCTTTGGGCTCGTTTTCTTGGACGGCAATGTATACCATTCATGTCCAGATACAGTTCGGCTTAATCCTAAGAGCGACAATGCCATTTCCGATCCTAGCTCCAGTGTACGACGCCCGGAATCGAGGGCCGGCGGTATATCTTCGTATTAGGAGGAGTAGTAGTAAGATCCTTATACAACTCTATATCTGCTAGCTTATCCGTCCGTACCCTCTCAAGATTCGTCGAGAACCAGAATATAGAATAGAAATTCAAGAGCTGTATTGTCGAGGGCCGTCGAAGGATACCGGGGAGTAAATGCCTTTAGAGAATTATTCGTTACTCTCTTAATATTCGAGTATGTCGAGCTGAAAGATCGCAGTTTTCTTTTATTCCTCTTTTTTTTTGTAGGTAGACTTGCTTAGAAACACTGAGCTGAGCACTTTTCTCGTCCATCCATGAGTTGGTAGTAGGTAAGGTAAGGTAGTCATTCATAAGAATCGCAACCATTCCCGGGATTCGATCTATGTTGGGGTTTTGGAGGCCTTGGTTTGTTTTTCTTCTTCTTGATCTGGAGGAGGAAGAGGAGGAGCGTGGACTGGATTGGATTGGGGAGTAAGGCAGGTAAGGTAAGGTATAGTAAGGTAAGGTAAGGGTTGTATAGTTCTACGCCGAGAAACGAGGATTTATAACGATGGACAATGGATGGACAAATAGGTAGTAGTAGGTCAGATCAGGTGAGCTCAGGTCAGGTCAGGTCAGGTCGGTATGGAGGTAAGGTGAGGTATCCATTACAGCATGCATGCATAATAGGTACATTTGCCATGAATTCCCCTTTTCTCAGACTACACTGCCCGTCGCCGCCATCGATGGATGAATGGATGGATGGATGGATGGATGCATATCTCAAGAATAAACGACGATGAAGGATTTTGCGGGAGAAAGGGGGATGTCGATGGGAATTCCTTGGCCGGGGGCATTCTTGGCATCTTGGCTAGATCGTAACTTTGGCTTCTTATCCCTTTTCCTCTTCCTTGGTAAATGAAGCTGAAATGAGTGAGACGGACTACACGTGCGTACCTAGGTAAGTCGATCTGCCTTTTTTTGGTTCATTATTCTTGGGAAGAATGTTTTTGCAGGCACAAATCATTAACGAAAAACACCGAAACAAAAAACTTCTCTACCTATCTCCTTAACAGCAACAAATCTTTCACCACACTCCCCTTTCTTTTTCTCTTCATCAGTGATGAAATGTCCTCCACCTTCTCATCTTTACTCCTCGCTCTACTCCTCGCTTCATCCATCCTCTCAAAAATCTCCCTCATCGTCCACGCTTTGTGAATCATAAACCTCTCCGTTACATATCCCGACGTGCTTCCGCTTTGCCTGCTCCATCCAGCCTCGGCGTCGCCCTCCAGGTACTCTTCCTCGGCCTTCCAAACTGTCACATTCACAGATGAAGGTGGAGGTTGACAGAGATACATATTCCATAGACTTGCTTCTGGACCTGGAAAGATTAGATCGTCGAGATCTTTCTTCTTGTTGTTCGCACTGGTTTTCTTTTTGCTTCCTCCTTTCTCGACTTCGTGTTGATGATTCTCATAGTTTTGACAATGATGATAGTGTCTCAGACTGAGAAAACAGACTTCAAACCTTGAAAGACGACGGAGTTGGAATTCGATTCCTATTTCTTCTTTTTCTTCTCCTAATTGTCTATCTGCATCTGCATCTGCAGGAACACTAACATTGCCGAGCGAAGGATTCGAAGCTCGAGGGAAGAAGATCTGAGGCGTATAAAAGCTTCCTTTCCAGGTGAGGATAAGAGTGTTGTTGTTGACACTTTCGGAGAGAAAAGAATCATAGACGGGATGCAGATGGGAGATGGATTCATTCACCTGCGTGAGGAGAGGATTCAGTCTTGGTTGTTGCTGTTGTTGTTGACAGTAATAATGAATGCAATCGAGGCTTCTGGGAGGACTCGAAGTGAGGAAGAGTTTCTCTTTGCATGCGTGAGAGGAGGTAATGATTTGATTCCAGAGTTTGCAGACGCGTTGGCAGGCTAGAAGGCTTTTGAGTGTCGTGTGAGTGAAGAGTCTTTTCAGATGTCTGGGATTGTTGAGGAATCTTTGGTGGGCTGTTGGTTGTTGAAGGCTGGTGTTCTGTGTTGGTGGAAGGGAGGCGAAGGAGGAAGGCGTGATGTCAATGGTGCGTGCTGCTGTTTGCGAATTGGCACTGGTAGACATATTTCGGTGTCAGGAATAGTCAGTCACTCGAAGTGGTGTGGATGTTCTGCTGGGTTACTGCTGAGTTGAGTATGGCACATATATCGGTTTTTGGTTTGAGCGTATTGCTTGCTTGTCTTCCTGCTGCTCGGCGCGAATAGCTTCACGGCGAAGAGGTCAAGTGCATGTGTCATGAGCAGTGGTGGATGATGTTTGTGGGCATTGTAGTGGCTTGTGATCAGCTATATGTCGTGCTTCGCAGTGTCCATGACTGCTCCTATTGTCCGCGAGGTTCCCTATTCACAAGACCAAGGGTGAGCGCCGGACTTTGTCCATCTCTCAGAGGACGACATTGTCTTCTACGTGGTGCGAGTGTCCGCCTTGCTCTCTGTTTGTGTACATGTTCAGCCTGACATGTGGGAAAAGCGCTTAGGACATTATGTTGTGGAAAGATGTCTTGCAACGATCGGCCTGCGCAGCGTAATGAGCACGAAAGTGAACGAATTGCTATGAATTAAGGCAGCGTGCACGCATCATTTGATTGACACATCTAGTCATACTTCACTCATACATATGCCGCATTGTGGTCTTTGGTCGCATGATCGTCGTTCTGGTCGCCACACTTTGGTCCCCTTCGCTCGTGCCAATACCGTCTCCTTTAGACTGTTGAGCGAGCAGTGCTTGTGGCTCATCGTTGGTACAGTCGCTAGCCGCATGCGAGGTATTGAGAGGCCAGAGACCTGTTCCTCCATCTAGACGGTCCTCAGTTGCCGTCCACCTTTGCGATTGCTGCTCATCACATCCTTGGCGCGACTGCTTTGGTAGCTCAGAGCAGCTGAAGAGCATCAATCGCGTCGGCCGTAATCCGATCTGCCACTCTCTACATGCAGCCAGTCTCTACAACAGGTCCAAAATGTCCTTTTCGGCATCGTTCGCGAGCAACTCCAGCATACCCTCCGGTATAATCGGCTTTCCATCACTTCCCTTCACATACTTGAACGGCATCTCGATCGTTTCGTTGGCCTTGATCTTGCCATTCTCATCCGTGATAGGAATCTCCGGCCTGTCAATGTACTCAATCTCGCTGAGCTTCTCTACAGATCTGATCAGCATATTTTCCTCTCACTCGGAAAAGGAGAGCAAAGAAGATATAAGAGCTAGTAGTAGACTTACTTCCCTCCTGCACCACAATTCTCGTAGTCCTCACAGCAGTATCAGTAGTCATCTGCTCTGGCCCCAGCCTCCTCCCCGGAAAGCCCAACTTCCTGAGGTCTCCTGTGCGGTCTCTGGGGGGATCGTCGCCTAAGATGCCACCAAACAGAAATACATCAAAAATTTCACCATCCTCGGGACTTAGATCTCTCTCAGCTTTGGGATCGAGGAGACAGACTTTTTGCCTTTCCGCTGCAGTTGAATAGATGGACTCCACTGTCCGCTCTGTCCGCTCTATACTCGGGATGGTGAGTTTTTCGAATTTGGAAAAGGATGGCGTGAGGCCGGAGAGGAGGAATTTGGAGTTGGACGAGGCGGATTCGGACGAGATGGTGTTGTATTCGAGAGCTTGCCAGTCTTCCAGTTCCGGATCGAGATGTTCGACGATGAAGGTGTGTGATTTGGCCATTCTGGGTAATTTCTCCTTTTTTTCCTGTTGGTTGTGTGTTCTCCTCCTAATGTATATTCACTCAATGTTGATATTGGACCGGTTGCTGTGAACTTTTTAGTGGAGCAGATTTCGACGATCGGACTGGAGCTCCGTACCAATAGGAGGGCAGAGAATAAGATTCCTGCGACATCGGACAGGGATGTCTGTATTTTGTGCGCATACCGTATATATAAGTAGTGCTCTACTCCATTCTCGGTACACGTACACGCTGTGTCTTCGCCGTGAGCCATTGACAGGAACAATGTTGGCCGCACGAAGGACAGCGACGGCGAGGTCGACCTTGTTGTCTCTGCCCACTCCGCTCCGCACCCACATCGCCTCCTCCCGCACTCTGGCCACGGCCACCGACGCCTCCGTCACACCCGCTGCTTCGTCCGTCGAGAGTCGCACGCCTCCTTACGCCAAACTCCTCCAACGTCTCCAATCCGTACGGCGCCTATTGCCTACTCGACCTCTCACGCTCGCTGAAAAGATCCTCTTCTCCCACTTGGACAATGCCGAAGAATCTCTCCTTCAAGGCACCAACAATGGAAAGGACATCCGCAGCAATGCCACTCTCAAGCTCAAGCCAGACCGCGTGGCAATGCAGGACGCCAGTGCTCAGATGGCCTTGCTGCAATTCATGAGCTGTGGCATGCCGACGACGGCCGTGCCTGCGAGTATCCACTGTGACCACATGATTGTGGGCGAGAAGGGGGCGGACATTGATGTGCCGAACAGCATCAAGGGCAACAAGGAAGTCTATGACTTTCTGGAGAGTGCGGGCAAGAGATATGGCATTGAGTTCTGGCCTCCTGGTGCCGGTATCATTCATCAGACGGTACTCGAGAACTACTCTGCACCAGGACTGATGATGCTGGGCACGGATAGTCACACACCGAATGCAGGAGGCTTGGCTGCTATTGCCATTGGCGTTGGAGGTGCCGATGCTGTGGACGCTCTTGTCGACGCGCCATGGGAATTGAAGGCGCCCAAGATTCGTGGTGTCAGGTTGGAAGGCAAGCTGAGTGGCTGGGCTTCACCAAAGGATGTCATTTTGGCTCTGGCTGGCAAGTTGACAGTGCGCGGAGGGACGGGCTACATTACAGAGTACTTTGGACCAGGTGTCGCATCACTGTCATGTACTGGCATGGCTACCATATGTATGTTGTGTCTTGAATAGGCCGACAGGCCATAATATGTTACTAACACCGATTATAGGTAATATGGGTGCCGAAGTGGGCGCCACGACATCCATCTTTCCCTACACGCCGGGTTCGCACGACCCCTACCTACAATCGACACACCGTGGATCAATTGCCAAGGCCGCCAATGCCATTGCACAATCTCCTGATACCAGCAATCTTCTGGCTGCCGACTCCAACTGCGAATACGACGAGGTTGTCACGATCAACTTATCCGAATTGGAACCACATATCAATGGACCGTTCACGCCAGATCTTTCCACTCCTCTGTCCAAGTTCAAAGAAGCGGTGCAGATGAACAAGTGGCCAGAGACCTTCGGAGCTGGACTCATCGGAAGTTGCACCAACAGCTCATACGCAGACATGACTCGTGCAGAATCATTGGTGCAGCAAGCACAAGCCGCTGGTCTCAAGCCAAAGGCCGACTTTTTCATCTCTCCCGGCAGTGAGCAGATTCGTGCTACGCTGGAACGCGACGGCACACTTGAGACGCTCCAAGAAGGCGGAGGTCTTGTTCTCGCAAACGCTTGTGGACGTGAGTAGCGCCACTATCATTAACATGTTTGTACCGCACTAACACAGCATAGCTTGCATTGGCATGTGGTCGCGCACAGACGGTGTCAAGAAAGGCGAAGATAACGCCATCTTCACTTCATACAACCGTAATTTCCCTGCCCGGAACGATGGAAACCGTAAGACCATGAACTTTCTCGCCTCTCCCGACCTTGTAACAGCAATGTCTTATGCCGGCCGAACGGACTTCAACCCGATGACCGACAGCCTCACCACCCCCTCTGGTGAAAGCTTCCGCTTCCAGCCACCCAAAGGCACGGAACTCCCCTCTCTCGGCTTCGCGGCAGGAAACCCCATGTTCCGCCCCACAGAACCTGTCCCCAACCCCAACGTCTCCATTGCAGTGGATCCTGACTCTACCCGCCTCGAACTTCTGGAACCGTTTGCTCCCTTCCCCGAAGGCGAACTCTCTGGCCTGAAAGTCCTCGTCAAAGTGAAGGGACAATGTACCACCGATACCATCTCCGCCGCCGGTCCCTGGCTCAAATACAAAGGTCATCTCACCAACATCTCCGAAAACACCCTCATTGGAGCGGTGAACGCCGAAACAGGTGAAGTCAACCAGGTCTCGGACGTCGACGGCGCACAATACACCATTCCCGAGCTCGGCAAGAAATGGAAAGCCCAAAACCAACCGTGGCTCGTAGTCGCTGAACACAACTATGGTGAAGGATCTGCCCGGGAACACGCGGCGTTGCAACCTCGATTTCTCGGTGCTCGCATCATCCTCACCAAATCGTTCGCGCGTATCCACGAAACGAATCTCAAGAAACAGGGAGTGATTCCTTTGACGTTTGAAAATGAAGCGGATTACGACAAGATGGCGGGATGCGATGAAGTTTCCACCGAGGGACTGTACGATGTGTTGCAAGGGGGAAACGGCAAGATCTCGTTGATTGTGAAGAAGAAGGATTCGGGAGAGACGTTCAAAGTTCCTGTCAAGCATACCTTTTCGCCCGATCAGAAGAGCTTTATCCTCGCCGGGAGCGCGTTGAATTTGTTGGCGAAGAAGGGACAGATGAAGGCTTAAGCAGGGGAGAAAACTCGTGCTGAGTCCCGAGAAGAGAGTGGAAGATGAAACGATGTACATGCTACTTGCTTGAATAGGGAAGATACCCAATCTAGGGAAGAAAAGGCGTTTCTGGCGCGGTGATCATATCAAAAGGCGTGTGGCAAAAATGGAAAAACGGAGGCATAAGTCAGGTTTGCTGCTGTACTGTACCAAATCAGTGAGCTGGCTTGCATCTACAGTAATATATTCACGTGACATTTCCCTCGTACCAAATTATGTGAATGCTTCTGCTGGGATAACCCCAGACTCTCGGGATGTGGCGAGGCGGCCCGTGATTTCGGCGAATCTAAAGTGGGCGCCCCTTTCGCGCTTCTGCAAACCAGCAAACACAAGCGTAACGACATCTTGAGATACCCCATTTTCCTTACACATATCGATCCCATCTATACCATACCATCGCACTGTCACTCGTGCCGCCACTCCTTCACCCACGCTCTTTACCACCCATACTTTACCCACTCCTTCACCCGCGCCGCCGTCCGCACCCACACCCTCCACCACCGCCGTCGTCTTCTTCCCACGCGCCGACGAAGCTAAACCGAACTTCTTCTCGCTAAACAAATACCCGACGACAACATGTTTGTCCAGTCTACCGCCGTATTTGCCTTCTTGGCTGTTGCCGCGCAGGTCGTGGTAGCATCCCCTCCAGCATGTGTGCTTGCTGCTGTCAAGTAAGAGATCACTTCCCGTACGAGAATAGACGAGAATAGACGAGAAGAGAGAGAGGGAGGGAGAGAAAGAGGGAGAGAGGAGACGCGTACGCAGGGACGCGATGGATGGGCATATGAGTCTATGGGGTGATGCTTACACCTGTGGTATATAGCGTCGAGTCCGACCCTGCCGACTTCAAGACGGTCTGCCACTCTAAAAAAGTGCAGTCATTCATGATGGAAAACTGCGGCGATCACCTCAAAATGGCACAGGAGTACTTTATGGATATCTGCAAGACCAACGGCAACGAGGTCAAGCTATCTGGCAAAACCACCTCTTCTTCCTCTTCTATGACCGAGTCCATGACCGAGTCCATGACTGAGACGATGACCGAGTCGTCCACTGCCACCGAAACCGGTACCGAAACTTCCACTGGGACGAAGCACGCAAGCACTGCTACAGAGACTGCGGCCGTGACGGGCGGCAACACTTATGGCGGTGCGTTTCTCTCTCCTGGCCCCGGTCTAATCCTCGCTACGGCTAACAGCAGGTCTGATAGGTCCTTCTGGCACGTCTTCTCCCACCGCCAGCGCGACCGGCCCAGGCTCTCCTTCCTACACAGGTTCTGCATCGAGTGTCGAGCTGGGCATGGATGTGCTTGGCATGGGTGCCTTGGTCGCTTTTGGCGCTGTGTTGGCGCTGTAAAAAGCGTCACATTTGGGCATCTTTGAAGCAAGGAAGGGGTTTTTTCTCTGGAGTTTATTCTTGGGGAGGGGTTTCTTTTGGCTGCATGTATGCTTCCCATTCCGAATGTTGGCATAGAAAAGCAGGGTAGGGACACGACTTCATATTAAGCATGCCCCTCGACCTGGATGGTTTTCAGCATCGCACTATTTTTTTTTTCATGTATGGTGGACTAATGGAGAGAATCTGCTTTGCTCCGAGCATGAACGGCCAACCAGCCCTTCTTTTGCCTTTCATTTCTCTGTTCAAGCCCTTCGATCCCACGCATCATAACATCTCTTCGCAGGCTGAGCCACATTCCCGACGCTAATGGGAGGGTTGGCCTTGTTCGAAGGTGGAGGGGAGGTCCCAGTTGACAAGGCAAGCGATACACTGAGGACACGGGACCATAAAAAAAGAATTCAACTGCAAAAGTTACGCTGGAAGAATAATGTCAAGTCGGACACACCGTATGCACAGCCAAGGCTTCGGCATGGAGAATATCATTCTTATTGTAGGTGGACAGCATGCATTTGACGATGAAGAAATGACAAATCAGCAGAAGTGGTACTAGGAGGGAGAAAGATTAAAAATGAACTCTCTCCAAGAGTTCACCACAACACACCCTTCACCACCGTCCTCACCCCCCGACTCTTCAAATCCCCATGGGCCATCTGGAAATCATACCGATACTCCACATCCCCCAAACCCGTCTCAAACAAGTCCATATCAAACCTCGCCACGGCTGCAATTGCCAACTTCATCTCCGCCTCTGCCAAATGAATCCCCAAACACGACCTTGGACTTTTCGTGCCAAACGTCATATGATATCGACTTCGCAACTCCTTTCCCCCTTTCCCTCCTTCCCCAGACAACCACCTCTCCGGACGAAACCGAAACGGCTCGGGAAAAATCCTCTCGTTCCCATGCACGCACAAACTCGAAGTGGCGACTCGCGTTCCCGGCGGAATCACATATTCGCCATAGACGATCGAATCATCTGGTGCGATACGTGGATTGCGGCGTGCGAGGCCATACATGAGCCGTGTTCCTTCGAGAAAGACGGCGTGGAGATAGGGTAAGTCGTGGAGTTGTTCCATGCTGGGTCGTGGGCCGAGAGGTTGCAACTCCGCGCGGAGTTGCGCCATGCAGGTCGGTTCCCAGAGGAGGTAGAAATGCGTGATGTGGATGGCTCGGGCGGGTGAGTCGGAGGCGGCTACTACGAGGAAATTTCCTTCGCGGCTGAGTCTGAGGGGTTCTTTTTCGAGGGGGGGTAGGTCAGGGTCGTCGCGGATGGTGTAGAAGATGCTTTTGTGTTGGGAAGGTGGAGAGGAAGAGGGAGTTTCGAGGTTTTCTTTGGTGGTGGTGGTTGTTTTATCGTTGACGACGGATTGCACGGTTTGGGCTACGCGCTCTGCGACTCGTTTGAGATCCATGACGCCCGGGGGAATCATCTTGGAGGCAATGCTCGCAGGGAGGTATGCAGCCAGGGAGTTGATCCATCCAAAATGGCGTGTGAAATTGACTTGGAGGAGGAGATCCTGTGAGTTTGCTCGCAGTTGTGCGGCCTCACTCAAATCCTCCCGAAGAACCGTCGACTCGAAAGCGAATGCATATTCTTGAATGAGATCCCAGCAGTAAGCAAAATACAAATCAGACACATTGAGCGGACTGTCGCAATTCGCCTGCGAGGAGAGCTGATGCTCAATCACTTCCACTAGTCGATCTCGTTTTCGAACCAGTAATGGTTCCAAATCCCTCACTGCTTTCGGGCTGAAGAAACTCGTCATTGCCTGTCTTCTCGCCTTGTGCAATTCCCAATCCTCCGTACCCGCGACCGATCCCGCGATATCGAGACTGGGTTCGGGACCTTTGTTCCGCTTGCGAGCATTGTAAATCTCGCCCAAGAAGTCGGGATCGGCAATGTGCACCTCTTCGGGGTTGACTCGCAGGATGGGACCATATTTCTTGTGAAGATCCAGGAGTTTGAAATTGTATTGACCGGGTTGAATCACATCGTAGTAGGTCTCATACCACCCCGTGAGAGCGGCGAGTTTGGGCCCGGGGATATGGCGAAGGGGATGGAGGTAGAGGCGGTATATGCTCAGGAGAAAAAGGTATGCTAGGAAGCCCCAAGCGAAGGCGTGTAGAGCGTCCACGTCATGAAGGAGGCTGCTGGAATTCATGGCTGTCGCCACTCTATATTGTGGTGTGTTCAGAGTGTAGCGCACCAACGCTCTTGGGATGGGATGTGAAATGCTGCAGACAACTCATGCCAAGAGATTTGTCAAGTGAAGTCTATATTCTAGCTGACACGAAATCTGTCGCAGGTGGGGGATACAGCACTGCTTGGAATTCAGATTCGACAGTCCGCCGCAGACGAGACGAATGATCGTTGTCAAGGTCATATCGTCATAGTACTTCGCGAGAGTTGTTTTATGTTGGCCCTTAGTCTCTCTCTGATGGACTGGGAACCCCCGTTATGTGACAGAGTTTCCCCCCATGGGGCCAGGGGGTTGGGCTGGCCTGTGAATCGTGATCACCAAAGTCTTATCTACAAGCCAAGATTCTACGGAAGCATAGGAAGATCGTGATGTGATGACGCGTGCATATGTGTATTACTTAAGACTCTTGGGTGGTGATGAGCTCGAAGTTGTAGATCTCACTCATCAGTCATCATCATCATCATCATCATCATCAGACATGCATGCTCCGCGGCTGGGATGAATTTGAATATACAGCTCGATAGCAAGGCCCATTTTCTAGGCTACCGATTGGCTACCAATAACCATGTCCCTCACTCCTCTGACATGGTGGGCATTATTTGCTTGTCCCAACTCATCCACCTCCGAAGTAATCCATGTGCTAACAAGCCTGACTTCACCTGACTTACAACCAGGTTTGCGGAACAGGCATGGTAGGGCCCTGACCCCGTAAGTATGCGGAAGGGGTATGGTACGGATGTGACAGTACCGAGTACTGCATGAGAGGACTGGCATACACGTGAGAGGCATGCGAGCGAGAGCCATGAGAGAGCGACGTGACAGCCACGTGGTAGATGATGATACTATGGATGGCTGTCCATCTAGGCTCTGCAATCGCCTCCCCCTCTTCGAACTGACCGGACCAAAACATCATGACTCGTTTCTTCTCATATCTATGTATCTCGTAGCATGTGACATGCTTTGCGAATGGCAACTGTCGTGCCATCAATATTAGCGGCCTCGAAAGGCGAAAAATGATCTCCTGGAATGTCTAGTACTTCGACTCCCGTACCAACGAGATCCTTCCAAGCATCGACGCAGATGGAGATGTCGCTTCGGTCATGTAGCCACGGATTCTCCGGTAAACCATCCACGCCTAAGTCCAATCCTTGGGAAGATATCAACAGTACAATTCGCGGCATGGGGCCCTCTCGTGAGGGTCGATATTGACCCAGTAGCGCAGCCCGACGTAGATTGTTCCGCATGGAGAGGCTTGCGATGGCGCTTTCGAGTTCAGCAGCTTCTGGAGTTCGAGGTCTCGATGATGACTTCCGTCTCGTTGCCGTGGCCAGCTCGATCGTCTCGCGAGCAATGGGTATGTGGTCTTGTGCGGGTGGCGGGTCGATCATGACTGCGCCTAGTATGTTCATGTTGACATCGTCTGAGCCCAGCAATATACGAGCAGCCTCGAATGCAACGACTCCTCCGAATGACCACCCAGCAAGGATGATATCTCTCGTCGCAGATTTGGAGATATGCCTGCTGATCATGGCTGAGTAGTCTCTGGCCGCTTCCTCGATTGACGTCCAGTCATCTTTGCAGTCGGCTAGCAGACGACCGTCCTGAATCGTGAAGACGTTCGCTCCCAGCGAGTCTAGACGATTGTACTCGTAACACAAGCCACCGCCCGGATGGACGAGGTAGATTGGTGGAGCATTGGAGGAGTCCTTGTGCCGTTGTATCTGCTCGGGCGTGTTGTGAGCGGCGCCAAATCGACGTTGCAGAACTTGTCGCATATCTTCGGATAAGTGAGGCTCGGAGGGCTCTTCCGCCTTCGTGTGGGATAATGCATTCCGTGGACATGCCTTCGATGATAATGTGCCTACTCTGAACATGTCAGCCATGAGATTGCATTCCGACGACATGTTCACCGCGCCCTACCTGACTTCGACGTTTTGCGTGTAACAGCAGGTGAAATCTCACCACGAGACGCACTTGCACTGATCAGGGCTTCCATGTCGCCTACGGTCTTGCATGCAGACAGCTCGGCGACGGTAGGCTTCTGTTCTTCCATCGCTTCTTCCAATTTCCTATCAAGCTCAAACATCATGATGGAGTCCACCCCCATCGCCGCCAAGGTGGTACGCGTGTTGATGTTCTTCTGGTCAACGCCTGTCGCCTCGGAGAGAATGGTGATGACGGTATCCTGAGTCGTGGTTGGACTTCGGGAGGTCGTGGGACTGCTGGAGCTGCGTGTGGGTGAAGTGCTCGATGAGATACTCAATGATGGCTCAGGTGGAAGGATCTCTTCGCGTTGCCTTGTGGGATTACAAGAGGCCAGAAGAGCGTTTCTACTTTCTCGTGATGGTGCTGCTTGTGAGGCGAACTCGAATGCTGCCCGGAGCTTCGAAAGCTTTGCTCGTCGAAATTCCATCCCTCTAATGACGGCGATGATACCGTCTCTGTCCACGGCATGGGCATCTGCCAAAATAGTGTTCTCGCCGTCGGTGTTGGTGAAGTTGCTACAATGAACGTCGAAGCTCTGTCCTGCGCCAATGTCCTTTCGGAACAGTATCGTTGATTGAATGTGGTGACAAATACATACCGTGTCGTTGTCGACATTCAGATTGGCGGCAAAGCCGGCGATATGTAGCATCGTATCCAGCAAGATCGGTTGACCGGCGTACGACGACTCTTCAGCAGGCGGCAGTACACAGCGGGCGAAGATCTCCTCCAAGCTTCCATCCAGATAGATCTTCTTCACCCCTTGGTATACGGAACTGTAGTCGACCACTCTGCTGAAGATTTTGTCGTACATGATTGCCGTCGAGAGGGTCTGATGATCTCCCGTCTGGAACATGACTTTCCGCCGAGCAAGAGCCTGCTCTTTGACCCGCAGCTTGGAACTTGCTTGGGATTGGGGTTGCTCTTTGATGATTCCCGAGCAATGGACTTTGGTATCGGAATTGGGCGTTGCATAGCTCGATACCGTGAAAGGCGTGATGCCTTCCACCGTCTCCTCCCGTTCGAGGGTGATCCTGATCGTATCTGTTGCCCCTTCGATATAAATGAGCGGCCTCAAGAATTTGATAGCAGACAGTTTGAATACGACCATCTCTGCATCAGAGCCTCGGAGACATGTGATGGCAGCGAGCACCATCTCCGTGTATACGGAAGCTGGACAGAGAGCAGTGCCACAAACCAAATGTCCTTTCATCATGGTGGCCAGATCCTGTATCGGGGTCTCGTAGATCGCTTCGGAACTATTCAGCGTGTCTACTCGACTGCGAAGCAGCGTGAATGGGGTCCGGTTGATGTTTGACTGGTCTTGCTGCTGCTGCTGCTGCTGCTGCTGTTGATGTGGTGTTTCTCGAGGTAGTGGCACAAAGTACCGCTGCTGATCCATGGGCGATAGGGGCAAATCGATGAGCTTCGGCTTGCTGGGAAGAGACTCGAACAGCGACCGCCACGCGATTCTCGGGAGACCGTCTCGGTATAGGGAAGAGAAGAGGTCTGCGAGGGTCTGATCCGCAGGCTTGTTCTTCCTCAAAGGGGCCGATCGTTCGGTGATCCCATGCTGAGCGATCTGTATCGTATTAGCTCCGTCTTCTCAAACCCCATAGATACAGGCGGCAAGATATTTACCATCGGTAGAAGCATAGGGTGCGGTCCAATCTCTATCCATCTTGCCGTCATCAAAGCTTCGTCTTGGAAAAGTGCATCTTTGATACTGCCGCTGAACGCGACCACTTCTTTACAATGCCGTGCGATATACTCCGGGTTGAAGATGCTCCTTTCGCCTGCCTGAACGATTCGCCCGAGCACATTGCTAGCAATCGGTATCGATGGTACGGCGAACGAAAGCTTCGCCGCGGCTGTTTTCAGTTCTTCCAGCACCTTGTCGAGAGCCGCGGAATGGTATGCGACTGGCACGTCGAGGCGTGTAGCTTTCCTTCCACTCTCCATCAAAACGTACTCTTCCAGTTGTTCCAGGTCTGCCACAACGCCTCCTACGACACAGTCGGAAGGAGAGTTCTCGCAAGATATGGACACTTGGGAAAACTGCTCCAAGCGGAGTATGTCCTGCCGTACCAGTGCAGCCGGCATGTTGATGGCTAGCATCGAGGTTTGAAACAGATTGCACTTCTCGACAATAAGACGTGCTCGCTCTGCCACGAGCCATAGCCCACTCTCGAGATCAAGCACGTCTGCAATGACCAGAGCTGCAAACTCTCCGAGAGAGTGTCCTGCGACCAGTGCCGGCTGGACTCCCAGCCGGACCAGAGACCTCGCCAAGGCCACTTCGAGCACGAACACACCACACTGCAGAGATCTCATGACACAAACGTCCCGGATATCGAGAGTTTCCTTATTCTCAGGCTGAATCACGTTTAAGCAACCAGGATGGCCCCAACCGAGGAGAAGCTCATGGCAGCGAAGGACCGTCTCCTGGAAAGTCGGCAGCAATCTCAGCAGATCCTGGCCCATACCCACGAATTGCGAGCCTTGGCCACTGAAAAGGAAGACGACAGATGGCTGCTGATCCGGTACTTCGACAATACGAGCAGTCTCCAGCCCATGGACCAGTTGCGGAAGCGAGGCCGCAGTTATAGACAGTCGGTGACTTTGCAGTACTCTGCGCGCAGTGCTGGTATAGCAGATGTCCGACAGTCGAATGTCCTCATTTTGGGGGTGTTGGATAAAACTGAGCATCTCATCGCGAGCGCGCTCGAGCAACTGTTCGTTTCTGGCCGAACAGCCATAGACATACGCGATGGGCTCATGACTAGCCATCTGATCCGTGCCATCGTCGATGTGCTCCTGCAACAGCAAAGCTCCGTTGGAACCTGCAGCCTAAGAAACAGCGAGACTATGTCAGTGTTTCCTTTCGATTCTCATCTCGAGTGGGGGCGAGGCACTTACTCCAAAGTTGTTCAAAAGAGCGGTTCTCTTGCCTGGTGCCGTCCAATCGACGGCGTCCGTAGTGATATAGGTGCCATCCGTGCCTAGCTCTGCAATTGCCGGGTTCAAGTTATGGAGTAGAGCCTGTGGCGGTATTCTTCTGTGCCGCAACATCAACAGTAGCTTGGCCAATGCCGCACCTCCTGAAGCCGCTTCCAGGTGGCCGATGTTGCTCTTCAGGGATGTCACATGAAGCTTGTTCTCCGGCCTTCGTCCCTGGGCGAAGACTCCTCGTATACTCCTGAGTTCGTTCGGGTCTCCTGCTTGAGTGCCGGTGCCTGCGTGGGGGAGAGAGGAAAGCCAACAGTAAGCTAGTGTCTGCTGAGAGAATACATGGGCTGAAAGGGATCAATACGTACCATGTGCCTCCACGACAGTCACATCGTGTGGTTCCACGTCAGCAGTGGTGAGTAAATTCTTGAAGAGTCTCTCTTGGGTTGGTGCGTGCGGATGCGTAATGGAAGACGTCAGTCCAGACTGATTGAGTGCAACACCCTTGATCACGCCAAGAATTCGATCGTTCTCCACGATGGCATCGTCCAGGCGCTTGAGTACAAACGAGGCACACCCTTCACTTCGACAGTAGCCATCGGCAGTCTCGTCAAATGCTTTGCACTGGCCCGTGGCACTGAGAAAATGTGCTTTGTCGAGGCCCAGATACATGTCCGGGCTCGTGATCACATTCACTCCGCCTGCGATCGCTGCACGACAATCGCCTGCAATCAATGCTCTGGCAGCCTGGTAGATAGCTGCGAGCGAACTGCTGCATGCAGTATCCACGGTTATGCTCGGTCCGGACCATTGAAAGGCATATGAGATCCTGCCACTAATGAAAGCCCGCAAGGTTCCTGGCGAGTAGTAGACGTCAATATTGTTTCGTAGATTGTCCACGTAGTCCAGCGTGGCGCTGCCAACGAAGCAGCCGAACGTTTCTCTGGAAAAGGACGGCGAGGAGTCGGGAGCATAGCCGGCGTTCTCCAACGCCCTGTAGACCGTCTGCAGCATCAGACGTTGTTGAGGATCGATGGAGGAAGCCTCTCGTGGACTGATACCGAAGAGCTGACAGTCGAATTGGAACGGATCGTCCAGGAAATTTCCGTATTTCGTGCCCATCGAACGGGCTTTGTTCGTAGGCTTTCCACCATGGCCAGTATAATAGTCATCGATGTGAAAACGATCAGATGGGAGCTATCAGATTGTTAGCACGTTCTCGTTTAGTCGTTCTTCACGGCGGAATACCTCAGAGCAGCTGTTAATGCCGTTGATGAGATTTTGCCACAGCTTGTCCATATCCGGTGCGCCCGGCAGGTCAATGCCAACACCCACGATGGCTATGTCGTTTTCAGTCCAGCTGTTCGGCCCTGCCCACTGCGACACATCTCGGACTTCAACGCCCGAATTGCTGTACTCGTGTCTTGTCAAGGCACCGTAGCCAGGCCCATAATTCCAGATGGCGATAGGAGAATCGGGAGTGCCGTGTGTCGTAATATCGAGGAGCGTTTCCTGCACAGCCATCCAATTTGTCGGGGCAGATAGTGTCATCTCCAGTACCAATCTGAGCAGGTCACTGCCATCTTCACTATACTCAGAGGTAACTGTAGACCCATCCACAGTAGATAGCAGTGGTACCAGAAGACTGCTTGTCGATGGAAATGCGAGATTTCGAGCGCTCATTTCCTTCAAGACGATAGCCGACTGCGCAGGCCCGTGAGTCTTCTCATGGTAGAGCGAATGGATATTGGTGGACTTCGTGCTGCATTTTCTCGGTAACCCGGACTCTACGAAACGTTGCAAAGCACTACCCGGCCCCGAGATCGTGACACAAGCGGCGGAATTGATCGAACTGACGAAAATGGGTAGTTGCTGCTCCTATGTACGGTCAGTGGAATGCTACAAAGAAGCCCAAATATCAGGGAGTCCATAGATGTATGTACCTGGGACTCATATGTCGATAGAACGCTGAGCATCTCCTCGTTCCCGATGCCCGCCACGATGATACTCCACGGAAGTCCAGATGGTGACGAACTGATCTTCATTCGCATATGATGGCTGGCTAGGCCGATCAGAACAGCGGCTCGGAAGCATTGCTCTGCACGCGACAGGAACTGTAGGCCGTCAGCGGACGTGGCAACAGCGACTGCGGTCAGTAGGCCGACGCAGAAGCCGCCCACTGCTACTGTTGTGGCAATATGGGAATTTTCTCCTCTTTCTTCGACGAGTGCCTGATAGCGTAGCGACTGTACCACAAACAGTGTGGCATTCTGGACTGTGGGGTTGCCGCGATATCGATGGCATGGTTCGATCAGATTTCGCGGCTTCTGGAAGTCGTCGAGATCAATCGCGACACTTTGTCCATGCTCCGAGAGAGCCCTCGATACTTCATCAAGGAAGACGTGATGGCAAGCTTCGAGCAAGACGGTGCAACGTGGGAGTCTACTGTCTCGGAGTGCTTGATCTCGGGTGGAATCATCGAAGAGCACATCGGAGCCCAGTCCAGCAAAAATGGGTATTCTCTTCATCGTTGCATCGACTAGTCCATGACTTGCATATGGTTCGTGGTGACAGTATCGACAGTATAGGGATGCTGGACTGAGCCGAGTGCGTGAAAGTAGAATGGGGCGATCTGATGGTGATCCGAACTTTGAATATTGGCGATATTGGTAATGATGCTCAAGAAGACATGTTATGGACCGATATGAGTCTGGCCACTGCAATCAGCCCTCATCAGCAACGAATGTAACGCTCGGTGAAATGGTGAAACGGCCAGGATCTCCGGCATGATCTGCATCCGGCTGATTAGGCTTTTGCGGACGACACTCTTAAGCTGCAAATCGCTTGTACCTCGTAGGCAGTCAGAGACTCTAGATCCTCGCGCTGCAGCTCGACTGCTGTACATTACACGAGTACCTGTGTGGGACACCGAGATTAACGTCGAAAGCCCGATGTTTCTAGCCTAGTCGAACGACCTGGATATACAGGGAGTAGGAAGGGGGCCCGAGAACCCGGTCCCTGACCAACAACGCAACAAGGTCATCGTGTGAGACTTAGTCACTTAGAGTTCGTTGTCCTGCACCGTTGACCAGGAATCTGATCATGCATGTTCACAAGCTTATCGAACACCACACGCGCACGCACGGTGACGCACCCAACAGCAGGCAGTCTTTGGAGCCGAAGCAGGGAGCCACGTCGTCCGGGAGTCAAGAGCCGACAGTTGACACCTGCGTGACATAGATATCAAGAGCGGACTTGGCGTTGAGTTTTAAAGGCTGGCTGGCAACACATTCTGAGCCTAACAACCACACCTGCTGCTGTTACAACCCCCCCGCCATGGCTTTGAATGTGGCACAAGCCGAGGAGCTGCGGCGCCTGGCTGCTGATGTCAACGATGCCGTCGAGGCCCGCATTCGGGGGGAAAGGGGTGCGATCGAAAGGATTCGAAGGACTACGCAGAGTGTTCAGATGTCCGGCATGGGCCCGTTTGAGTATTGGGCACACCAGTTGTGGCAGCCATTGAAGAACATTTGTCTTGTGATGGCACAGGAAATGGGCGTACTTCCTCGACTCAATGCACACGATGGCCCGGCGACTGCGCAAGACATCGCCAGGAGTCTTGGCTCGGAAGATCTATTGATATGTGAGTGAGCGGCGCCCCAAGCACAGTCCGTACTATACTCCCGCTCATCTGTGCAACAGCCCGTCTGCTGCGCGTTCTCACATCCGTCGGGATCGGCGAAGAGGTTGCCGCGAACACGTACAAGTCCAACCAGATTAGTGAAATCGCAGCAAGCGCAGGAGGCCAAGCAGGGGTTAAATTTCTGAATGAGCTGCTGTTTTCCGTGGCAGCACGAATCGTTCCGTACATGCGAGAGCATGGATTCAAGCAGTTTCCGCAGCGACCACAGGAGATGGATCCCACCCAGTTTGCCTTTGACGGACGAATGATGTGGGACTATCTCAAAGATACGCCCGAGATGAAGAATTCCTTCGATACACTCATGCGAGAGAACCGTTCGGGGAATAAGCCGTGGTTTACGATCTACCCCTTTGCAGCGGAGATGGGCGCGGCATGTCAAGATGCAAATGAGGTGTTACTCGTCGATATTGGCGGTAATCGTGGCGCCGATATTCTGGACTTTCATCAAACGCATCCGGATCTGCCAGGCCGTCTCATTCTGCAGGACCTCCCCGAGACCATTGCAAACGTGGACAAGGCGGCGATGAGTGGGATTGAACTGCAGCCATATGACTTTTTCACGCCACAACCAGTCCAGGGCGCCAAGGCCTATTTCTGGCGCTGGATTCTGCACGATTGGGACGATGCGTCGATTCGCAAATTCCTCGACAACACCATCCAGGCCATGAGTGCAGATAGCAGGCTGTTGATTGAGGAGTTTGTTCTTCCCGACACTGGAGCAGACGCCAAGGCCAGCCACTTGGACATTATGATGATGCTGTATCATTCTGGCATGGAGCGCACACTGAGCCAATGGCAGGCACTGCTCACCAGCTGTGGGCTCCGCATTGTCAAGGTCTGGACGCGACCGGATACCGATTCCAGTGTATTAGAGTGCAAGGTAGCCACAGCCAACAGTATCTGATCTGCGCTGTCGTGAGGAGGGAGAGGAGGAGGAGGAGGAGGGTGGGGGATGGGGAGGGAGCGGTAGATGGGGAGGAAGAGGATGATGTTGATGTTGATGATGTTGATGTTGATGATGATGTGATAGATGAATACAGGATGGTATCGTAGATCTGGTCAAGGTGCATTGATTAGGTCATGTACATGGACGTTCTTCCATACCTGTAGGAGGTAATTGTCGTTTCCGGGTGTGCAGATTAGTCAGCGTCTAGCCAAGACCGGCACGCTTGAAGCCAAAGGCGGCGGCGGTGTTGTCGGTGGTGGCGGTGTTGGCGGTGGAGGAGGCGATGTTGGCGGTGGTGGGCGGTGGTGGGCGGTGTGGACGGTGAGGTTGTTGTCATGGCGAGGAGAGAGCGTGATGGCGTGATGGCGTGAGTGAACAGCTGATTTCTCATTTCTCATTTCTGATTTCTGATTTCATGTGAAGATGCTCGCCGGCTGACTCGGCTCCACCAGATGAGGTAGGTACAGCCGGTCCCTCCTACAGCCTTCCGACATTCACCGACCACCGCGTCTACACTCTACACTATAACGTGCTTCCTCTCACCTTTCACCCACAGACACCTCCCTCCACTACCAATACCACTACCTCCACCTCTACCGTACTCACCGTTCCGCTTTCTCCGAATTTCTCACGTCTTCGCCGACCAGCGCCCAACCCTCGATCACCGTCAACCCGCTTCGACACGCTCACCGAGACTGCAGCCATATATCCCGGAAGCGGCATCACCTTCAGTTACCCATTGCCTGGCAACAACCACACAATCACACACACACAACACACTCAGAGATCATCAAAATGCAGGCAACACGACGCCTGCTGCAGCACCGTCAGCCCATGATCAAGTTCCTTGGCAAGCGCTCCATACCACAGCGTACGTCACGCCGCCAGAGCCGTACATATATATGTACCTACTGCGGAAGCCAAATTAATGTCTGAGATACAGAACTTGATCACACTCCCAAGCCCCACCCCGAATCTCCTTCCCACCATCTCCCGTCATCATTCGCAAACTACAGACAACAGGCGACTCAACACGGACCTCTCAAGAGTGGCTCGGCACCGGCAGGCGGACCAAGTGCCGCTCCTGTCAACCCATATGGAGCAATTGGAGGCAAGAGCGCGAAGGAACTGGGGCCCATCAAGCTCGCAAAGGGTGAGGTCGCGAACAGGAGTGATCTGCCCAAGCGTTTCCACAGGACGGCTTGGAGTCAGGCGGAGATTGAAGCGATTGAGAGCGGAGGCGCGAGCATGTTCGCTTGAGAGGTGGAAGACGAATTGCGCATGATGAAGATGTGCATACGGTATACCAGAATACGCGATGCGATACAATATCGTAGGGACCGGTATAGGAGAAGCGCAGAACCCTGCGTAGCGATATCGAGTCCATCGAGAGAACTACCCACATGGCCTCGACTTCGACGCGTGGAGATGATCATGAATGAAGATGAGGTATATTATGGAACGGTGGGAAGTCGGTACAGCAGGCGGTCCGAACTCTTGTGCATTATCAGTCGGGCACGCTCATAGTGAAAGAAAAGAAAATAAAGCTCTGCCACGAATGGCATCAAGAAATGTTGTCTGCCGTAGTCTTCAGTTTTCCATCACCACTTGACAGACGAAAAGCAGCGACACGGCGGTGCATGCTGGCTACACATGTCTGCGCAGTGTAGCTGCTGCTTCTCGAGATACCTGTAGGATCCTACCTTACCTATCTACCTGACTGACCCCTCATGAACATTCACCTCGACCTTGATGTTCGCCGGAGGATGGCTCAGCGCCCACCGAATCCCATCATGCATCACCCGATCATAATCTCGACACAGCGACAACTTTTGCACCCCAAATCTCCGAAAGCCATGCGGCACACCCTTGAAGAGATGCACATCGGTCGGCACACCATTCTCCGCCAGCACATTTGCATACAACAATGCCTCGTCCCTCAGGGGATCCAGCCCGGCGATTCCAAACGTGGTCGGAGGGAGTCCGTGAACTTCTTCGGGTGATGCAGCAAGGATGTTGACACGGCGATCCGAGGCGAGAGGAGCTTGGGAGTGGACCAGGTCGTTGAACCAGTTGATCTTGCTCACGGGGAGCACTGGCGCGAATTCGTTTTCTTGGTACGAGGATCGATGGTGCATGTCACTCCGATGTTTGAGTTGATCTTCGTGTGCCATGTGTGCGAGGCCCGGGATCATGAGGACTTGTCCTTTGATATTCGCAAACGAGGATGCGTTCTCGCGCTTCTTGGTCAGTGTCAGGGCTGCTGCGAGGTGTCCGCCTGCCGATACGCCGCCTACGACCACGTGTGTGGGATCTCCGTGGAAGGATTTCGAGGCATGAGCGACGACCCACTCGAATGCATCTTCCGCGTCGTGCCATGCGGTGGGATATTTCCATTCGGGAGAATGGCGGTAGTTGAGGTTGAAGACGACGACATCGGATGCGAGGGCTATCCGTGCACACGTTGCGTCTTCGGAGTCGAGCGTGCCGAAGAGGAAGCCTCCTCCGTGAAAATGAATGTAGATGGGAAGGGTGATGTGCAGTGGTATGGTCGTGGGTCGATAGCTGCGAGCGGAGAGGATATGGCCATCCCGGGCGGGTACAGAGTGGTCCTGGAGGGAGATTTGGTCTTTGAGAAGACTAAACTCCTCTCGCGAGGTCATCTCGCGCCCTTGATTTGTGGCTTTCTTGATCTCTTCGACGCTGCTCGAGTCGGGTGGGCTTGCGGGAAGTGTTGCCAATACATCGAGGAGCTCTTGGCTTGCGCCGCCATACTGCGAGAAGTCGCTCATTATGATCGAATGTGAATTGTGATTTCTGCGTTCTGGTCAACGGTTGGACTATTTGTACCTACCTGATTCACCTACATGTACCACAAGACATCTTGAGAAGAGGACCCAGAACTACATGTAAGGGCGAACTGGAGCTTCCCCGCTTTTCCAGCTTGCGTCATTGGTCAGCTCAGGCATGGTTGTCGAGATGTCGAAATTTGGAAATTTCCTAGCAACATCTGTAGCTGTGTAAGGTATGTATATCGCGAGAGTGCTGCATGCCAAGCTCGGTATGGTGGCTGACAACTCTTCCCACTGTGGAAAGGGTCTTGCTGTCTTGCTTGGAATCAAAGACCTTGACATTCACTTCAACAAGTGCCTATTTAGTCTCCTTCATTTGCTTCAGCAACTTGAGCAACGGCAGAGGACGGGCGAACTAGGAGTGAGACGGGTTCCTTGATGAGCTGTCGAGTGCCACAAGTCCAAGCAATACATAGGTACCTAGTCGTTCTTTCGAAGCGATGAAAGGAGTGAGTATGCACTGTCAGTCAGATCAGGCTGCTGGGATCGGAGCACTTGCTCATTGAGAATCTCATACATAGATACGTGCACATTGCATGCGGTCGCTCAAAGGACCCGCAAGAACAAATCCGGTGTAGTGCTACTGCTGCTGCGGCGGCGGCGGCGGCCGTCTTCTCCGTTCCCTCATCTCAGGCTGCTGCTGGGGGGCAGCAGCACCAGACCTCTCTTGTGCCTGTTTCGGTCGCGCCCTCTCCTGTGGTTGTGCCCTTCGTTTTTGTGCAGGCGCCTGCTCCATCTCTGAAACCGGCTGTTTCGGAACTTTGATACTTGCTTCCCTCGCTTCTCGTACCTCCTTCTTACTCAAGCCCAGTGTTTCGGCATATTCGCCGAATGCGAGCAGGATCTGTTCCAGCCCCGTCTTGAGCACGTCCAGTAGTTCATCAACTGCTGCGATATTTCTGTCTCGCTCTTGCAGAAATTCGACGTCTGTCCAGTGTGGTTGTACTTCTTGGACATACCTCTCAACGGCTATGATCGTTGATGTAAAGGTCCGCGTAATGTTGGCGATGTCCTTCTGCGCTTGACCGTAGTCGTCTTCTTTCAAAGACAGAACCGCAAGTTGGCTCAGCGACTTGGCAGCATGCATGATGGTGGTCTTCTGACTACTCGGAGTGCCAAAAACGACTGCATTGACCTTCTTCGCAAAAGTCTGGCGAAAAGGGATGCCGATTGGCATTTTCAATAGCTCCACCAGCTGACCACTAGCTTGCCTCTCCAGGTGCTGAGGTCGCAGGCGTTCTTGATACTCCTGTGGCAGGACTTGGTCTTTACTCCACTCGATCGCTCTCTGCGCGCGAGGGAGGATGGGATTGTGAGCGCCAGGCTGTTGTCCCATAGATCGAGCCAGGTTACCAACCGTATTGTAGAAGTCGGGTTTCCGGCTCGGACTTTGTAGAGCACCGTCGTTGATGACTTGGCGATCGGCAATTCTTTGCAGTCCCATGTCAACTTGGGCATGTGGCATGACTGGCGGCTGCTGAGCGCGTATGTTCTGTTCATCCTGCTGTTTTTGATATTCGGCGGGCTGGTTCGCCAGATTGATACGGCCTTGGACACTTTTGACTTCATCCAGGCACAGCTTGCAGATTTGCGACCACGTGCTGCCTGTACTGCGATCGACTTCGGTGAAGATGGTCTTTCGGCGTACTTCGTACTGCGTCGTGATCAAGAATAGCTCCCATAACGCAAACGCCTTGTTGACTTCCTTCTTGCTCTTCAGGCCGGTCAGCAGACTTCCATTGGGATCCTTGCTCTTGTGTAGTATGACGCCATTCGCGTCCTGGACTTGGCTGGTCAATGTCTGCCCCTTCCGCAGCGGTGGTTGCGATGTAAAGACGTCGAATGTGGCATTGGACACTTCCCACAATGAGACGAGCATTAAGGAGGAGAACAACGCTTGCGGGACGAGTAAAGTGAGATGCTGCACACCACTCGGGGCGGCGTTTGATGGCAAATCGCTGTAGAAGATGCTGGCGAAGGAGTATGTCACTCTCCAAGCAAAGCGTCTCAGGATGGTGTAGTAAATGGTGGGAGGGAATATGCATATGGCGATGATGGTCAGATTGACCGACCTCGCGACTATTGTCTTTGCCCTGGCGGCCAGTTCTCGAACCGGTGTGGGCATACCACGTGCATACGAGACAGCAGAAGTGTCCTCCTTTTCATCCTCTCCAATGCGGACTCGATCGTAGTCGCGCCAGAAATGCAACACACTCTGTGCCACGGCCAAGGTCGAAAACATGCACCTCAACACAATGGGATTCTCATTCAGTCGTGGCCTCACCCAGTTGGGGTCTCCCACATCGACCATGACCAATTCAGCGGTACTGGCTCTCGACCAAATATAAATCTCCCCAAACAGAAAGCCACTTCCCCAGTACCAGAAGAGGGTATTGAGCGTGCTCGCCAGGGCCTTTGCACCCACCAATTTTCCATACAGCACCTGAGCCGGACTCGAGCTTGTTCGCTGTCCAATGTGCATGTTCGCCAGTCGCACAATAAACACCATCAGACAGGGCATGAAGAGCAGCAGCGCTCGCAGACCTGCAGGACCGAAAGGGAACCATGACCAGAAGAGGTGCGACGAGGTGGAGAGTAAGAAGGAGTCGATGAGGCAGAGGAGGAGAGTGATGCCGGCGGCGGAGCAGAAGCGGCGGTGCAGGGCGGGCGTGAGGAAGTCCTTGTACACTTTGATGCGATCCTGCTTCGGTGGTGCTGCTGCAGCGGAGCCTCGAGACGCGTGCTGGAGGAAGTTGGCGGAAGACGTCGTCGTCGCGGCGGTGGTGGTGGTGGCGGTGGCGGTGAGGGTTCGGGTGGCCATTTCGAACGCGGAGTGTGTGTACACAGCAGCGGTCTATTCCATGGTGGTGATGAGGGAAGGAGGGAGGGGGAAGGAGGGGTGACTGTCGCGATGCTGGACCGAAGTGAATAATTATTGATCGCTGTTGCTAGGAAGGTGCCAGCCATAAGCACGTGCAGTAAACATGGATTAAGCTTTCCCGCGGTGGAGCTAGAACGAGCCAAGATCGGCAGGCACGTCATGCGCGTTGCTTCCGCGCGCCAGGCATCTGTCTCTCTCTCTCTCCCCCATCTCCTCTATACCACAGACAGCGACACCAAGCAACAACACCTCTCGGAGAGACAACGAGAGAAGGAGAATAATGTCCTTTAACGACACGTCCAACTTGGAGTCCCAGCCGACCACATGGCGTCGCCAAGATGACCCCCAATACGCCGACGACCCCGAATACAACACCTTCACCACCCAACTCGGCGATAAGCTCTTCTCCCTCACCTCCAATATCTCCCGTCTGAGCAACCAAATCGCGCTTCTGGGTACGCGTCGCGAAACAGATCGGGTGCGCGAACGTGTGCAAGACTTGCTCTCGGAAACCCAAGATGGCTTCAAAGAGGTGGGAGAGGGGCTGAAGAGGGTGCAGGGCTGGCATGATCTGGGGCCGAGCCAGAAGTATACGGCGGGAAAGTTGGCCACCGAGTTTCGTGCGAGTCTGGATGAGTTCCAAGGGCTGCAAAGGTCAGCTCTGGAGAAGCAGAGAGCGAGTCAGACTGCTGCGAAGGCTGCTCTAGATGCGGATGGGGGAGGTTTGATGTCGCCGGGAGGAACGCAGATGGGCGGGCAGCAACAACAGCTACAGCAGCAGCAGCAGCAAGAACAACTCCGTCTGGCTGATCAGAGCGAAGTCGACTTTCAAGAATCTCTCATCATTGAACGGGAGTCGGAAATCCGAAATATCGAGAGTAGTGTGAGTGAGTTGAACGAGCTGTTTCGAGATGTTGCCACGATGGTGCATGAACAGGGCGGACAGTTGGATATCATTTCGGAAAATGTGACGAGTACGAGAGACGACACGAGGAATGCGGATCAGCAGTTGAGGACTGCCAGTCGACATCAGAAGAGCGCGAGGGGCAAAGCGTGTTGTTTGTTGATTATTCTGGCGATTATTCTCGCTATCGTGCTGTTGGCCGTGCTGGCCTGATGTGTGGTCGGAGCTATGTGTTTTGTTGTGTGAGAGCGTAGGTAATTACAGCATCCTTCAGGCGTCTCTGTCTGTGCCGTTAATTGTGGTCTATCTGTATTGTGGTATGTACAGAGGAGTATCGATCTTTTTAATGTCTGACTTCGTCAATCGCTAAGGACAGCGGTGGCGTCTGACCCTCTAGGCCGGGCTTTCAAAAAACCCTGTCATATATGTATCCTACAGGCGTCTCCGCTATGACTTGATCTCGTCACCTTATCATTGTTCTGGTGGAACAGTGACACGAAGCCGGTATGAGGTCAATGGAGTACCGTGTCGCCGGCTTCACCAACATTTGTCCTCGTTAGGGTTACGTTAGGGTTACCTAAAATTTATGGGACGTCGACCACGACCACGGTCAGGCGTGCAATCCACCATATGCTCAATTGATGTATGCAATGACATTAGATATTATATCAGTGACGTTTGAATCATTGCAATAGCGGTGTTGGACTTGGATGGCGAGTGTGCTGGAAGAGTCCCGAAATTGACTGGATTTGTGGAATACTGTATACGGGCATGTACATGTAAAGTATTCACATTTGCGGGTGTGTGATCTTGCTGTCCGTGGGTCGCTAGGTACAGGTAGGTCCCTACCTTAGGTATCCTTGCAGATAGGTACCTTATGTATCTCGAGCAACGCAAGAAGGAATGAGCTTGCGTTCTTCCAAGCACGCAGTCCCGAAGGCGTACAGATTACGTTCATCATATATCAGCAACAGATTCATGGCCGAATTGATCTGTCTATAGGGGATGTACGAGAAGTTTCAGGGAAAGAAAAAAGAAAAAGAAAAACAGAAAAAGAAAAAGAAGAAAGAGGAAAAAGTCAAGTGTCACACCAATGGCCCGTCGGCGTTGATTGACACTATAGAACGCCAAACACTAAACTCCTGATAATGCTGATCAAAACTCCGGATAGATGCTCCCCGTAAACCCCATGCTCCCCCTCCTATGCTCCCCCTCCCATGTCATGTCTCCTCCCCCATCTGAAACATTCATATTCGTTGCAGCGTCGTGAAGCCAATCAATCAATCAATCAATCGGTCAGTCAATCCACCTCCATCTACAAGGTGAGGACACCAGTAGTGGCGTTCCAGACACCAGGGCCGGCGCGGACGGCGACCGAGTCAGGGGTGGTCTTGCCCTGCTCGAGGTCGACAGTCATGGTGTTGGGTCCGCTGAGCACGAAGCAGTCGAAGCTGATGTGATGGATCAGCACACCGCACAAAGAAGATGTGTCATATGAAAACAAAAAGAAAAAAAAAAAAAAGAAAAACTGGAGAGAGTGGTGTGTGCACTTACATAGTCTGGTTACCGAGGCCCTCGAAATCGAAACCACCGACGTCGTGGGCCTTGCTCTCGTCGGCCACGGTGTATGGCACATCAATGCAGACGGTGGCCTCGCTGGGCTTAGCCTTCTTGCTGAGGAAGTCTACGGCATCTTCAGCGAAGAGCTCGGCGGCCTGTGATGATGTTTTGTCAGCATGTTGTTGTTGTTGTTGTTGTTGTTGTTATTGCCAGTAGCAACTGATGGGAAGGCTGCATCATCGTCATCATCATCATGTACCTTTTCGTAAGGCACGTCGCCTTCCGCGAGAGTGAGGTCGCGAGGAATCAAGCCAAACTTGCCCGCAGCCCATGTGGCCAAAGATCCGAGGCCGAAAGCCACGAAGCCGGCGAGACGCTTCTCGTTCTCGGCAACCGGCTGGGCGGCAGGAGCGGCAATGGCAGCGCCAGCGAAGGCAGCAGTGGCAACGACGGAGAAACGCATGTTGATGGTTGGGCTGGTTGGTTGGGCTTTAAAAGCTGTCGTGGGAGGGTGAGAGTGGTGGTGGTGGTGGTGGTGGTGGTGGTGGTGGTGGTGGTGATAAAGAGGCTGTTGGTGATGCTGTTGGTGATGCTGTTGGATGATGAGGATAGATTTGTGGATGAGGAAGCAAAGGGTATTTGTATCTTCTATTCGGGTGTGCTGCTATCTCGAATACGGCATATTGAGAAGCAATGGTGGACGGTTCATTGACGCTGCTTGCTTTAGCCCTCCGTTCTGATTGAGTCTCGGCTTTTCGCCATATCTGGTGGAGACTGGAGAGAGGGTGTCCTGATGCTGTTCGTTCGGGGTCTCAGTGTGTTCCCCGAAGCACAGAGCCACACAAATGGCATCGAAGTCGAGTGTGGAGCAGTCCGGTGGGCATCATGTGGACTACTCTGGGCTGCTAGTGGGCATAGTGTGTTCCAGATCGGACATTTCCTCCACGTGGATTCTTCTCTGCATGCTTCTGCCAAGACTGGGTGAGTGAGGCCATCGGCGTATGGGTGTGTGAGCTTGAAACGCTTCCACTGGCAGATCTGGGGCGTTCCGGTATTGATAGCAGAGCAGCACCATAGGGATCGCTAGTCACGTATTTCCATTCAGGAAGCCATGTTCACACAGTCCCGTTGGCTTGAGCACATCGTCTCTGCCTTGCATCCAAGTGTATATCCAGCACGAGAAGGTCGGCGAGCTGTAATAAGGTAGCGATTGGCAAAGCACGGCAGCCATAAGCAGCAGAAGGAGTGATCAGGTCGATGTCTGCACCTCCTGCTGCATCGTCGACTGGAGACGTGACCATGATGATGATTGATAATTCCCATGCCTGAAGGTATACCTGAAAAGGTGTAGGTGATGGAAATGGAGATGGGGATGGCTTCGGCACATTCATTAGGGGGACATGTCTCGTGCATAAGGCACAGAGGTTTGTTTTGACTATGGCATCCGAAATTGCCATGCGAGCCAATTGAGATTGCGTGAGAAGGCCATCGTGTCTATCGTGTCCATCAATGTCAGTCGGTATGTAGTACACTGCAGCAAAGGATCCCCTCTACTGGCGGAGTTCTCGAGGGCGCTCTGGAGAAGGGGACAGTCCCTCAGGAGACGCAGACGGGAACGAAGGAGCACTACACGACGATGACTACGTGTACGGAGGGGGGGGGGGGGGCTGTGGAGGAGGAGGAGGAGGAGGAGGAGGAGGA